CTGCTTCCATCTTGGTTTGTGTACTGATAGCAGAAAGAGGTGTCTAAATTAAGCCTGATGGCTACCTCCTTCCCAACAGAAAATCAGTGTGTGATGATGTGTTGGGGCAGTTGTAGGACTCTGGGCTTCATTTGAGCCTCTTTGCACAACAAATGGCCATCATATTTCAGTACTGCCCCAGCCAGACTGGGCAGTGCACCAGAGAGCTTGTATCAGCCCCCCAAAATGTGGCATACCAAGCAGAGTTGGCCTGTAAAAGGTGCTGCTACTAGATTTTGGAACTGACCGGGTTGCAAGGACAATATTATTAAGGTGGGTTCCCTTATGGGTCTGATCCAAGTTGTCTATATAGGAGAGAGTCGAAATTTGTGTTTGTACTAAATAGGATAAAGATTTTTGCTAATCTGTACAGCTAACTGCGTCTGATAATTGTGTATCCAAATGATGCAGGATATCTAGAAATAGTTGGCTTTCCTTTTAGTCACTACATTTCAAATTAAAGCATTCTCCACAGCCAAGTAGTTTAGTGCACATGTTCTTAGGTCACATCCACATGATACATTTAAAGCACTCTTATATCCTTTTAACCAGTCATGGCTCCCCCCCCCAAAAAAAATGTAACTTGTTAAGAGACACCCTGCTTAGGCATTTCAGAAAGGCTCTCCCCACCCCTGGCATTCCTTGCACTTGTTCTAATGTGGTCTTTCCCTCCCTCCCTCCTTTTCTGTAGGTATACAGTCTTGTACAATGGGCAGCCCCAGGAACATGACAAGCTTCCGATCCATAATGACCCAGAATCCCAAGAGTCCTGCTTCTGACTAAGGTCCCAGAATGTGATCTGCCATGCAGGACAGTTGCAAGATGATGGTGCACCAGGAACCTATTGCCAGATCAATGTTGTCTGCATTGCCATAGTGCTCTCCTGTACTGATTTGACATCAGCAGCAACAGCAAGGATGTGCTTACCAACCAGGAGGATTAGGCAGTCTGTAGAGAGGAGGAAGGAGGTCCTTTTTTTGTTGCTGCAGAGTGATGCCTGGAAAAGTCATAGTGCTTTGCATGTGATGCACAAACAGTAAGCAACATGCTTGATGGTTCTTGCATTTGCTTCAACAGATGTGTCCGTACACATCTCTCCATCTCTGTCTCTCTTTTGTATTGCTATGTGGCAACAATATGAATCTTCTCCCAGAATTTGACTTGAAGTCTAATATCAAACCACACTTTTGCTTAACCAAAAAGAAACAAGGAACTGATACTATTTTTCTCAGCTGTTTTTAATTGTGAGCTTTTACTCAAGAAATGTACTCCCCCAGCTGTGCAAGAAGAAAAGTGGCAGTCACGCTATGCATGTTCCCCCACCCTAGTATGTCTCCTGGCCAAAATATGTTGAGGAGCACGAATAGCCCAAAGAGAACTACGTTGTGGCCTAGGGATATGGAACTGATTGCGGTATGAAGTCCTGCAGCTCCCACCAAACTGATCTACGATGAACAGTCACAGATTCTATCACTAAGATGTCTCCATCTTCCCCCTCGCACGTTGTCAATGAGATCTTCATCTGGATAAACTTTGGGCAGTGCTGCTACAAAGGAAGAATGGGCCAGGAGGCAGAACCCTTAAGAAAGGAATAACTCATCTGTAATAGTTCACTAAGTGCCATCTTGACGTGCGTGTACATTCGACCACCCTTTATAGCTGAAGAATGTGTTTGGAAAACTGATTGACTCATTTACTTGCCCCATTTTGCCAAAAGCTGGCTCTGTGGCTCAGGGACTGTGTGTGATGGACCAGTAGCTACTTGTGTGTCTTAGGGTTTATCAGTATTTGCTGATGACCCCAGGCAGTAACAGGAGCAGAGCCCTCAGTTAGGGAATAGGCAGGCACCCAGGTGGGAATCCAGGTACATGATGTAAGACAGGGAAGAAGGCACTAGAGGCAGTTGCAGTGCCAACAGCTGCTGCTTACGTGGGAAGGGTGGAACAAGTAAATATGCCTTCTTGGTAGGAGACAGGTTGTTCAGAATGATGAGGAAGTCCCAGGACTAAGGCTCTATTGAGCTAGGCAAAGATTCATTGGCTCCCTAGGCTGGGACAGCTGCCTGAGTGCTGTGTCAGCTGGTGGGACCTGTAATGCTGTTTATGTGGTACCCACAACTCCTTCAGTAGAGATGCTGCCTTGGTACCAAGATGTTGGAGCCTGCTGGAGGTCCTGGTTTGAGACCCCTAGCACCTTTGCAGGGTTTTTTTCTTTTCTAATGCTTTATTGGAACTTCAGATATTTTCCCTGTCCCTCAAAAGGATGTCAGCCATGCTTATGTCAGCAGTTTCCTGCATGCAGATGTTACTGCCTTCCTTATTAGTGGTAGCTCCGCTTTTCTTTGCATGTTATGTTTATCAGCTTTGCTGTAGACCGAAGGACTCTGGGAGTTTGATTTTCACATCATGAGAAATGTGCAGATCCAAGCATGGATCTGTATTCTCCTTCACTGAAGATCTAACCTAAAGATGACAACCTTGCTCTGGACAACAGGTATTTTGTTACATTGTGTAATTATGTACAGATTTTTTTTTTTTTTAGTGTATAGGAGAAAAACATTATTTATTATTATTTTAAGGGGATTTTTATTTTCCCATGGACGTCTTCTGAGTTTAGGAGCTAAAACGTTTTCATTAGTGTTTTGTTTTTGTTTTTTTATTTAAAAAACAGTTTTATTTTTCTGTTGCCATGTGACAGCTATTCACTGTTTTAAAAGAAGAAGGAAAAGACAGATTTTATAACAAAACAAATGCAATTCAAAGGACATTTCATTGGTCTACTCTTGTTGAGAGGATGAGTCTATGGCTTTTTACCCTGGTGTTGCTCTGCAGACTCTTCTTGCTTGTGCAGCTGGCCCCAAACTATGGGGATTTAGAGTGCTATTTTAGTGTGCCCAGTCTCTGCTGTACACATGTGCAAAGCGTACTTCATTCTGCTGGGTAGGCTCTAACTAGCCTGTGCAACTAGCTTCACAGATTAGCGTAGCCCAGCTGGGGGTGGGAAGAAATCCTTTGGATATTTTGCATGTTTGCTGTTGTGTGCTGCCATACCCAAAGGGAAGTGAGCAGGGGCATGAGCTTTATGAACCCCGGAGAAAACTAGACTGCACGATCTCACCAGTGTTGTAAAGCCAGAGGAGCTAAAATGGGCCACCCGTGTGGCCCTGTGTTGAGACTAAGTGATTCACTTCTTTCATACTTGTCCTGCTCCGCAGAAACTAGAGAACCTGGAACAATGACATATCAGCTGACAAATTTACATTTTAACCTTCCTCTCCACCACCCACAAGGCCAGCCCATGCTTTGTTTTTGAGGGGAAGCTGCCACTACCACCACATTACGCATCATACTTTGCCTGCCCCTCCACCTCTATGGGCAATTCTGGAAGTTATCCTTTATTCTGCAGCCCTGCACCCTGTCTGTGTCAGATGACAGCCAGCAGATTGCTTTCATCAGGAAATCCAGTCATCCTCACCTTTCATTGAAATATTCTTCCTCCTCCCAACCACATGGGAGCCACTTATTCACAAGAAGCTCCTATGTGACTGGGGTAACGTTGAAATGACCAAACCATGTGAAGAGGCGATACTTGATTGCATCTTTCTCATGGAATGAGCACCATTCCAGGAGCAGGTATAGATTCCAGGAGAAAGACCTACCCAAGCAGCCCTGCTTGGGGATAATGCAGCTCTTACATGGCTGCATGCAGTGCTTTTTTCTGGGGGTACGCATACCCCTAAATATTTTGTGAATCTGAGTTTGGCCTCATTGAGGGGCAGTATTTCAATATGAGTAGGAAAATGAGAGTACCCCTAAACATTTTTTAAGGAAAAAAAGCACTGGCTGGATGAATGTCTAAAAACTACCTGTATGGTTTTTTAAAGTGTATACTGTGTCCAATAATCTGAAAGCCAGATTTCACTAAAAATTGGGTGGGTCTGGGATTTGTGCCACTGAGACCTCATATGTAAGCTTGGCTGAATTATATTATTGTGAACAAGTGCAGACTCCTTTATCTGATATATTTGGAGGACATGATTTCCTGTTGAATAAAACAGTGTTTTATTGACAAGTGTTGGTCATTCTTCAAAACTCTTCCCAGCTATAGCAACTGTTCAGGGTGATCTGTTTCTTCTCATGGTCAATTGTCTATAGGGCATAAACTGAAAAACAATGAATCCCATTGAAAAAGCAAATATGTTGGATGCTGTGGTGATAAACTGAAATGCCAGCACTGATTTTTGCAGGAGTTTGTAACAATGCCTCCTAGATTTTAAGTTCCTATGTGTGATCTGTGACAAACACCCTAACTCTTCATTTCATAGAAATAACAGGCACCTGTTAAGATACTGTACAGAAGCACTGACTGCACCATTCTCAGTAAGCTCTGTTCATTTCTAAATCATGGTAAAAGGAAATCTAATAAATGCATTTCACAGACAGAAGACTGATGCATATAAAGCAGAAGATCTGAACAGGAGTGCAGAGGAGAGGTCAGACACTTCAATTAGAAGTTGATCAGCCCTGTCTAGAAGATGCAAAGCAATAAATGGATATGTGCTTCTCAAATGCCAGGGGTACAAGCTGATAGAGATTGCCTGGCTTATGTGAGAGGTTCAGCTAAGTGACTGCCACAGTTTTTGTGCCACCAGGCAGTCAGTCTAATGGTGTGCCATAAAGCAGAATCTTTATTTGAACTAGTATTTAGGAAGGAAAAGATGAGTAATATAATGCATGCTTTCAAAGCTATTCCTTTTGAAGGGGAATCATATACCTAAAACCTGGCACACTGTACAGTTGTCAGAAGTCATGCATATAGAACACAGTTCCAGCAATGTCAACCATATGAAGTCCCGATGTGTGGGGATGTTGATTTTAAAGGTTCTCTGCAAATGCTTGCACTTACTCCACAATTGGAGGTGTTGCTGCCTAATCAACCCCCTACTGTTTGTGCCTTAGATCGTGGTGGTGATGGTTAGCTTGTCTTTAGGATCTGGTATTCAGCCTTATACTTTGTTGAAATAGAAGGGTTCCATTTCTCTCTCAATATTAATGGTTGATCATTTAGCATGAACTTGTGGGGGGTTGTTTTTTGTAAGCTATCAAAGCTAGAACCATCCTGTGGTAATACACTGCATGAGTTAATTAAGCAATGTACGAAGAGCTTTTATCAACCTGGAGTTCCTTGCCAATTAATTTCATTGAGAGAGCTAAAATATGTAGTCTTAAGAGAAAACCCATTCAGTCTATCCACTTCCCATCACTATTGATGATTGTTTTCTTCCTTTTAGTTGTCTTTTTCTAAACTGAAAGTACCAACCTTTTTGGCTCTTCTTCATAAGGGTGGTGTCCTCACGGGTGGTAAGTCTAGTCATGGTTTTTTGCATTTCTCCAGTTACAGTTTGTATGCTAGAAGATCATACAAATACATGATCCAGCAAAGGAGACAGATACAGACACAAAACCAATATGTAAGTTTCTCTAGAGCTAGGACAAAATGTCACTTAAGTTTGGAATACTGTGGACCCTGAGAAACAGGATTGCCAGAGAGGTTCTTGTAGTTAATGTAGAATGAAACATTACGTCTGGTGCTTACTATTATTTATTTCCTTGAATTACCTCTTGCTTACTGCAGAGTAGACTCTAGTTATAATGCATGAATGAGCCCAAGGCTATTGATAAAAAGTCTGATCAGGCAAAAGCTTTTGATGTGTCCTCCCTCACCCCAAACGGAACTGCTTAACTGTAAAGGTGTTGGCTGAAGTGATCAAGGGATAGCACTATGGTTTTTTTTTTTATGTACTAGACACAATAAGCATATTTTTTAATGCTGCAAGCACAATCCATAAAACAGAACTGTGACAGCAGTCAGGCGTTGGAAAAATTTAGCAGATGCATGGCATTTGTTGAACATAATTACAATAGAGATAGCAGAAAGCCAAAGATGGCTACAGAATCTTCTAGTGCTTGTAAATAGTCATTCTGTAGGAATCTGTGAAAGTGTTTTGATCTGTCAACTTTGCTTAATATTTAGATGAGTCTTTAGCTCATTGACTGTTCCCTTCCTCAACTGATAATTTCCAGGCAGAGTTTAGGAAGATCACACATTTGTCTTCTTAATCCTGAAAAGGACTATTTTTAGTTTCTCCGCTGCAAGCCAGAAGAATTACAGGAAGACTGACCAGCCTGAAGGCGGAATACTGGTCATGTTAGCCCCATTAGGGGCATAGATCTGAGTCTCGCACATGTAGCTCCGGGTTCAGGCAACTGCCAGACAGGTGGCAGCTGTGAAGGACACACGGACGCAAGCTGTGGCATACTAGGAAGTGCCAAATAGCCACCCAACCACACTTTTTATTTAATGGTAAAAACTTACTGTGAGTATGATGAGACGGGCAGTAAGTACATCCACTTTGGCTCCACAGTCCCAAAGGTAGTACCTAGGAGGACTGTGGAGCATACAGCAGGTAGACCTCTTGCTATTTGAGTCTCTTCCTTTGTCCCACATCCCTAAAGTTGCCATTTTAGTAGCTGCGCTCACTTCCTCTCATTTTCAGAAAATATTTAAAATAGTGATGGGCTTCTGCATACTTGCTGCTGGCAGGCACCTTCCCTTGCTGCTCACCTGCTCCAGCTAGCAGACCAGCCACCCACTACCCACAGTAGTGATGGGAGTGGTGAGATGGCAGGTGGTGGCACCGGCATTTGGGTGAAGATCAACCCCACAACCCTCCTCAAAAGGTAAGAAAGGAAAGAGAAATGGGATGATGATGGCCATTAGAAGATGGGCAGTAACAACCAGGAAAAGAACAGCTGTAGCAGCATCCACTAAAAGTAAAAGTTATTGGGGGGGTCTACCAGAAGTGCCAGAAGTGCCAAAGTGGTAGTGGCCCCCCCCCCAGGTATTTAATCAAGGGCCTCCTAAAACCTGTCACTGCCTCTGAGACCAAATAATGCAACTTTCATTTTTGTTCAGTTTGCTTTCCAGGCACATAGTAAACAAGTTTCATGTCTGGCCTCTGTGACCCAGGAAGTTGTGGCTCCAATCTTGCTACAGAATGAAAGAAGGGAAGGCACCAGCACAGAACAAAGACCTCAAAAGGTACAGTGCAAACAATGGAAAGGCCCAACATGTCCACAGGGCAACTGAGCGTGTTAGAACAATTATGTGGATGCTGGGTTAAGAGTCTTCTCAGATCACCTTTGAAGTCTGCTGTATTTCAAATCTTCATGTTCTTAGTTTGTTATCCCTCACTTCCAGTAGCATGAGCCTAACAATATTATGCGTACAGAGTCAGGAATCTAGGAAGCTGCATTGCACCAGATATTTGTTTTTCTAGCCCAGTACAGTAATACCTCTGCAACCGTCCACCTCGTCTAGTGTCCATTCCGGTGAACGTCCGCAGCAAACCCGGAAGTACTGGAACGGGTTACTTCCGGGTTTGCTGCTCGTGCATGCGCAGAAGCGCAAACCGCTCCGCACACGTGTGCAGACGTGGCGCTTTGCCCTGCATCCTGGGCTCCAGAAAGGATCCCGGCCACAAAACAAGGTACGACTGTACTGTCTGCTCTTAACTGGTAGCAGTTTTCTGGGGGCTTAGATAGGAGTCATTCCCATCACTTGCTATCTGATTTTTAAATTTGTATTGTGAGGGCCTGTCTAAATAAGGCAGTTTTCAGAAGATGTCTAAAGGAAGTCAGGGAATATTCCTGCTAAACCTCTACTGGTAGGTATTTCCATAGAACAGGGCCTGCCATACCAAAGGCTCAGCCCCCAGTGAAGGCCAGCCATATGACAGGTGACCACCGGAAGTGTCCCATCAGCAGATATCAGGGCTTGTTCACACTTCTGCTTATCCCATGCATAGAAATCATTGGTCTGAGAGGTTTTTCATTTGCCCCGTGCTTTCTAGGCATGGTTGAGCTCTAAGTGATAAAAATGAAGCATAAGGAGTCAGGTGGAACTTTAAGGAACTTTGGCCCTGAGACTCTTAATACTGGTCACCTGCCCTGCAACATCAAACAGCCCCATGCTTCTCTTTGAACCATGAGAACCAGCTTGGGGACATTCAAAGAGCAGTATAGGGCTGTTTGCAAAAGGGCTTTCAAACAGCCCAGCGCTTTGAAGTCCAAGGGGTTTCAAAGCACAGCAGATCTGTCAGATTTGGTCCTCCAGGGCTGGGGAGATAAGGATCTAGAAAAAGTTTCCCCTCCGCTGAGAAAGTCCATTTATATAACACAGCCAACACTACCATCCGATGTACTGTGATGGGTAGTAGATTTTGGGTGGCATTGAATGGAGACAAGATGTCAATTACTGAATGTACTGAAAATCTTTTGCAGTGTGGGAGGAGGACATTGCAAAAGAAAGGGTTTGTTTGGTCCTTCTACCCACCCTCCTTGGTTCCATGGAGCTGGGACCACCCCTTTGAACACTGGGCCTGCCATGTGAAGTTGGAAGGAAACTGAGCTGGGAGCACATGAATGGGAGGGATGCCTAATGGCACACAATCTTCTCCCAGGTCAATTCCCTCTCCCTCTGTAATGTCATAATCTGCTGTGGGTGTTCCTGCTACAGCTAAATGGACCATTGGAAGGCAAACAGACTGGAAAGATGCACCCCTGAGGCCAGTTCATACATCCTTGCTGTCTGCCTTTCAGTCACTCCGCATTTGAGAGTTTAGAGTTAGAGGTTTCACAATCAATCAGTGGTGGAAAAGACTGGCTGATAACACCACAGCTCTGCCAGCCTTGCTGTGATTTTCCTAATAACGGTTTCTGGAGAGATGGGGAATTTTAGGTTGTACTTTTCCCCCCAATGCAGGATTTATCTTACCTGCCCACTCAGCTCTCTGATGACACATCTCCTACCAGTGACGTGGTTCTGCTGCGCTTACCCATGAACATTATTTGGTAGATAACAGATTTGATGCAATAACTACAGCACACTGTTTAGGAAGTATAATACAAGACACCAAAGTATGTTTACTAACCAAGCTTTCAGCTGCAAAGCATGAAACTGAAAATATAATCTCTCTCCACCTAAGCTCGGAGAGCCATGAGTGTGACAGAGAACCAAAGCAAAATCAAATTTAATACTTCAGCACGGGCTTCCTTGCCTACTTATTTTCACTCCGTGAATGCTTGGCAGTTAGGGTTTTTACATGAATTCACAGGAGTTGCTCCCATTAATGCACCCAGCAAATAAATACAGTGTATAGGTTCCAACAATCATCTTTCAGGCACACACACACAAAAAACGCCCCCAAACCTACTAGTAAGCATTTGAAAGAACCTGGACATATATGTATGTACATGCTACATTCTTACTAAAGGTATTAGTCCTAACCCTATTTACCTAGCAATAAGGTCCACTGAATTCAATAGGACTTACTTCTGAGCAAATTGGTCAGGATTACAGCATTATAGGCAAGCATCTTTAACAAAATAAAAATAAAGTGTTTTTCTAGTACTGCTCCAGGAAAAAAAAGTGATCCTGTAGCTAACTTTAGTATTCTATTATTTTTGTTCAGTTTTATATATTTTAAAACTGAAAAGCCAATGCAGGTAAGTGATTTAAGTTTTGTAATGCAGCTACATCTAGGGGCGGAACAGGGCAGTGCACTGACAGCTGGATTTTTTAATAATTTATTTTGTCTGGATACCAAGATGAGTTTCTGGCTACTTTTGAGACTTCTTATGCAACTGAACAAAAATATGAAACCCTTTATGCTTATTCTTGGAGATCCATTAGTTTTAATAAAGTTATGTACCAGGGAGAGATCTGTAATGATAAAACTTTCAATCATGTTAGGAATGTTTTGCAGATATCCCTGTTGTAGTTGGAATGCAGGATTCTGCTCTCTCGCGACATATTTATGAAGAGTTTTAAACAAACAGAAGATTAAAGGGTAAATCAAGCAGACTGCCTTCTTAGTTTACTGAGGCTTGAATTCCATTCACAATTTGAAAGGGAATAGATTATGCAGGCAGATAACCCTCGGAACTGTTCAAGTTAGTTACCTCTAATGCTCATATATGATCTTCTTCAGCTATTGGGGGTTATATTTAGAAGCTATACTCCCAAAATAGGGATGGACATTATCAAAGCTTGATATCAAACTTATTTGCAGATGCTTTCTAATTTATATCTCACATCCTTGATCTCAGAAATGCGGGTTTTTGTGTGTGTTTTTGCCAGTTCCGCTAAAAATACAATCTTCACATATTGTATGTATTATTATAGGTATACTATTATAAACATAGCATACACGTGCACAGTCCAGGTTTCCAAAAGTTAACCAGCGCATAAAAAGATAAGTGTTATATGCATTGTGGTATACATAAAAATACTTACACATTAATACTGTTGCATGCCAGTCCCACTCTCCCAAATGGTGCAAAATTGCTGGGATCCCAGGCACTTTTCCAGGGTTTGCGTTTCCTTTGGAATGAGGTACACCAGAGAATGTGGTATCTTTGTAGACAGCTCAGTTGGTAAAGCACACAATTCTTAATGTCAGAGTCATGATTCCTTCATTGCAGGGGGTTGAACTAGAAATAGGGGACCCTCATGGTCCCTTTCAACTATGCAATTCTATTATTCTATTTACACATATATACCATCTGAGCCTACAAGTGAGGGCATCACAGCAACAACACCCCAATAGGGTCTCGCTTCTCCCATAGTTGCAGCCTTGAATTCAAACAGAAATCAAGCATCACTTTGTTTCTCTGCCTTCCCAGCCAGCTGCTTCCAGCTTCTAGCTCACATCACTCAACTCTGAACTCTGGCCTTTGTCTTTCTAACTACCAGTGAGCTGAGGAACCTGAGAATCAACATGGCTTCTTAAAATGTAACCTTTTTGAGTTCTTAAGTGTGTCAATAGGTATGTCAATAGGCATAATCTGGTAGACCTGGGAAGCATTGCATTTGAAGAGATAAAAAGGCTCTTTCCAGGTAGAAGTACTGTACCTAATAAATCTGTATCTATTTATTGCTGTGCAGATAAACATGAAATTCCTGTGAAGATTGGAGAGACATCAGTCTAAATATAACTGTAAATGTGTACCAAGTGTTCAGGTAAGCATCTTTTTAGTCTCTCTCAGTATGGTCAGACAGTGTGTCCATCCACTGCAATCAGTGGTTAAGAGTGTAGATTTCTAACCCTTAATTTTTGTCAGCTTGTAGTCAGTTCAGCCTATCAAAGCCAGACGTGAGAGCTACCACATCCCCAGAATCTACCCTCTTTGGCAGAAATGTTAAGACTCTGAATTCTAAATTAATTTTAGCCCTCAACCCAGAATTGATAAACCATCAAGCAGTTGCACACCATATGTACCAAATGATTATCTGAATAGACCCATCCTCACCATGTCCTTTGCATGTTGTCTCATCAACACCCAGTGGGTCTGGAAAACTAACTGCTGTTGTATAGCCTCACAGTGTCTGGAACATATTTTGGCTTTAAGAGTTGATTTCCACTGAACTTGTAAATATAGGTTGATCTAGTTCTTTATTCCTCAACACAATGTCAGCCCAACAGGCCTGTACAGTACAGGAAATCGGCTGGCTTTAGGAGTGACTCAACAAATTCCATCAGAAATGTGCAAAGCTGTTTCATGTGTGCTGAGGGATGCAGGTGCACAAATCTTGCAAACTGAGTGATTTAATCTGCCAGTAGATTTGTAGCAGAATATATGCAGCTTAAAGATCCTCAACAGTTAGGAACTAATAGAATTGATTCACTCTAATTGATTCACTCTCTTGTCTCATTCGAATTGATGGAACTCTTGATTCAAAGCTCCCGCACTAGTTGCGCCGGGGGGGGGGGGGGGAGTCCTCAGGTAAGTAGAGACCAAAAGTCAGTAGCTATTCAAGTTCTAAATCTTTAGAACTTGAGGATTACTTTCAAAGCCTTAAACAGAACTGTCTTCACCTATATGTTCAGCTCTGTACTGGAGGACCCAATGAGATGTCCAGTAGGAAAATCTATTTGGGTGCTTGGTCCATGAAAAGGGGTCATCTTTGTGATGGCTCCTTTCTGATAGAATTATATCCTGGGGGAAAGTTAGGCCGACACTCTCGATGATCTTCTTTAAATAAGCTTTGAAAATATCCTTTCATAATGGTTCCTGGAGTTCAAATTGGTATTGCAGGCAATGGGAGCTATTCTCCAAGGCCAATTTTATTGTTTAAATGTAATGAGGTTAATATTGTTGCATTAACTCTTTTAATTACTTAATTTTATGGACTGCATCCCACTTTGTCTCTCCATCCAGCTCTACTATTTCCCATTGGATGCAACCCCTCTTTCTATTTGCTGGTGTGATCTCCGCTGCTAGGAGCCAGTACAAAGCCTTAAACTGAGGGAGGGAGTTGGGGCAATATGACTGCTGCCCAATTGTTCTGCCCCACACCTTCTGCTGTGGTTGCCATAAGCAGCAGGGCTGAAGGTGTGGCTCTGCAAAGCCCTGTTAGAAAGTTGTAATTTGAGAATGGGTGCTTCCCATTCTCAAAACTGCAGTGGGGTGAAGGTCTTCTAAATATGAATGCATGCACCAAGAAAATAAAATCCATGGAAGTGGGAGATTTTCAGGGTGCTGAATTCTGTGCTTCCGAATAGCACACAACCTTGATTGTACGGCCTTTCTTCTTGCATTTCATATCCATTCACTCAGACACATTAATTAATGCACAAAACACAGCTTTCAGCAAAATGCAGGGAGATAAGCTCTCTAGAGATGCACGAAACAGAAGAAATAAGATTAGATTCCAGCCATTTGCTGAACAGGAAATGTGTTCATATCCAATTACTACTAAACGGCTGGATCTTTTACTTCAACCTTGATTATATAACCTTCCTGTGTCAATAAATAACTCCACATAACTGCCAATCTTATTTATGCAAATACCCAGAATGCTCGCATAATCTGGTATCTCAAGGCTAGTGAGACAAAAGATGATGCACTGCTCTATAATTTCCATCTTCAGGGTTTACGATATTCTGAGTTTTTTATTCACAGAATAGCATATCAACAATGGAAATGGAAGGCGAGTCCCATCACTTTTCTTGCCATTCTATACAATAAAAACCTAGCCAATATTTTTTTATCAAATGTATTTGCATCTTTTTAGAAAGGCAGTGTATCTTGGAGGAGGAAACTGCAACAGAAACCATTTTTTAATGCATTGCTTTACCTTGCACTCTGGCCCACAAACTTTCTGAAATAAGATAAAGTTCTCAGTTTGTGTGTCTGCGTTTAATCTGACTGTTTTCTATAGGTCATGCCCTGCCCACTTCTGTCACTCTTTGACTAGCTTAGCGCCACTGATTTAGGTCCCAGTGAAAAATGCATGCGACTCAAAGACTGTTCAACAGATTTACTCAGAATGGATTCTTAAGGATACTCAAGAGGAAAAAAAGGCACAGATTAAAAGAATCCTGTGACTCCCAAACGTAGCATATGGAAAGTTGCCCATGGCAAACAAAAAATACTGCTATGAATAAAATGAGCTAAAAAAAATTCAAACTTTTCTCCCTTGCCATAATTAGTTGCCTTCATTAAAATGGAACTTTAAATTACATTTCTTAATATAAACATATGAAATAAAGTCAACTTCAGCAAGATTTTTTTTTCTACGTAGAGTCCTCAGTGTACAATGCAACTTCTCATTATACATTTGCTACAAACTCTGTCCCAGTAGGCATTGGGGCAACTGTGAAGCACACAAGTTCCAAGACCTCTCAGTGCACTAAGGTAAGTGGAAGGAATCCACTTGCTTTCTTTGCCGGCGACACCAGTCCAAAGGAAGGAAGGGCTAGAAGGCTGCAGCCTGATCCCGTCAGATGTAATCATCCTCTACAGGCTCCCCATTGACATCACAGTAATGGATGAAAATGGCTACCACCCTCTGGAAGACACCTTTCTTCATTTGACGGTGCTCAGAGATCTCTTCGCCTATGGTTTCCATGCAGATGTCAGCTGATAGCTGTCCTTTCCTTCGGGGAGCATAAATAGTAGCTAAAAATAGAAAGAGAGAAAAAGAAAATAGAAGCAAAAGGAATTAACCATGGAATTTATACTCGCTTTTAAAAAGCAAGGAGTATTTTCTCAGCCATAAGCATCAAACTTTCAAACTTAAGTGTAAGCAATACAAAGAAATGGGGGGGGGGGGATATGTAGCTATTCCATTCAGCCTAATAGTGCACAGGGGTCACCATCTTTTTGGAGAAAACTGGAAAAAGCATTGTGGACGCCAGAGCCTCTTCTGCTGGGTACAACAGAGTGCTTCTTTCAAGCCAAGTTTCGGTGGGGAAGGGGAGAGAGGGAACCTTGCTGCCATGAACACCATGCTGGTGACCCTGGTCCACAACATCGACTTTAACATAAACTTTCCCCTCATTTGAAGCAACTGCTGTCAACAGGGCATTTGTGACTGTCCTCTCTTTTCACCCAAGCACATCCTACGACACTTTTTAACCTGCTTTCTCTCATGGCTGAGTTTCATTGCTTTAGTGTTGTTTGCCATAGAATTGGAGAACAATAGAACTAGAAAGGACCTCGAGGTCGTCTAACCTCGTCAGTCCTCCTTGCATGTTTTCTGCCTAGCTGGAATGTGTCCTTGAGCTCTAATTGACTCTTGCTTGCATGGATGGAGGACAGGGAACAGTATGTATAAAACAAGTCTACTGTACAATGATAAGATTTACATTAACTATTCTGTCCACTTTGGCCCCACCCACCACTGGTATGTGGCCCATGGAAGGTTGCCTAGAAATATGGCCCTCCATATGAAAAAGGTTCCCCACCCTTGCTGTATATAACCTTACCTTACTCAGCAGTTAGGAAATATCCTTCTAAATAAAATTGCCTTCATCTGATGCTGACAACTTGCCTTCCATACCTTAGTGCATTCCAGAGCCTGCCCTGAGCCCTAGCAGAATGTAACTGCTGACTTGCTGGAATACAGAGCAAAGCTTCACTCCCGAATCTGAATGAATAAGGAACTCAAGGCCTTCTCTCAGAAAGCCACTAATTTCAATGAAGCTTTACTGCATGTCAAAGGTGGGCTCTGCTTTGGGTATGTTTTGAGCAGATGGGGAGCACAAATGTTCTACATCAGTAAAGTTATTTGCATTCACTTACTTTTTTCATCATCCTCAAAGTCATATCTGGCATAGCCATTAGGCTCAGCTGTTCTGAGTGACCTCAACCAGGGGAAATCCGTTATCATAGAGTACGGGGCGCCATCCACAACACCTATGGCAATTGGAAAGAAAGTAAGGACATTTTCATGCTGTTTCGTCAGCTGTAATCCCCTCTGTTCAACCTACAACTGCCTTTAAGGCCAGTCTAGGGAACAAGGTGTGTGCATGTATTTGATCAGTGGTAAGATGTGTGCATTGAGGTGGATAGACTGAGTGCACCCACTGGGCCTGCCACCTCTGTACACACCTGACCATCACACATGAGATGATGTAGAAATTGAGGGGTATAACCTGCTCAAAAGGAATAGATTAAACAGGAAGGGAGGAATAGGAGCATTATATGTAAAGGATGTGTCCACTTGTGAAGAAATCCATTGGAGCACGGAAGGCAGAATGAGAGTATATGGGATAAACATGGTAGGAGAGAGAACAGTGACCTTACTGCTACAGACACCCAAGGACTTGGATGGTGCCTTCCTAAAGCAGATTACCAAACATTCAAAAAGGAGAGATACAATAGCCAAAATGGAAAATAAGCAGTAGCAATTATAAGCTTTAAAGCAATTGCTTATCTGGTGTATTTTTTACTTGTTCATGCAACAAATACAATGCTATCCTAGTTTATGGGGTTTTCATGCTAAAGAGTGCACAGAATTTTTGCTGTTCTGCCAATTTAGGTACTTGATTCACAGCACTGACTGAGCTGATTGTGCATCCTACTTGAGTGTAATGCAGGTTTGGATAAAGTTACTCAATCCATCTTATGTAAAAGTCTGAGTGACAGGTGCATTGTTACATATCTTTAGGTACCAGGCAAAAGCATTCCTCTTCTTCAAGGCCTTTGGCTAATTTAACAATCTATGGCCTTTTAAGCTGCATCGGGGGATGTCATAGTTTTTGTTCATTATGATGTAATGTATTTTGTGTTTTTATATTGCAAACTGCCCTGTGATTCTTGCATGAAGGGTGGAATAGAAATTTAAAAATAATAAATAAATATAGTCATGGCATGGGAGACTTCAACTACCCTGATATCTGTTGGAACTCAAAGAAGTATTTTCTTGAGAAACAGAATATAAATGTCTCTATAATGCTCACCTTCTAACGTGTACATGTCTCTCCCCCAGGGGTACTTTGTATATTTTTTCAGGTCATCTTCTGTTCGTGTGGCTTCAGGAAAGAACTCATATTTAATAAGTTCTCTAGAGGGGGAAAACAAGAACAAATATGAGTAAGCATGCAATTCTATCTGAGAAATATGAAATATCTGAAACATGGAATTCTGTCTGAGAAAGAGACATTATAATCCAGTTTTGTTTTTAACCACTTGGCTGGTCACCATAGGTGACCAGGAATTTCAGTCGGGGGAGGGTACCAAAAAAGAGATTAACTCCGCCTCTGGCAGCCCACTGCATTTCTATGCTGTGTGTGGAGGAGGGTACTTTGCATCCTCCCCACCTGTAAATCTGGGATCTGTTAGGCCCAAGGAACCACTGAATTCTGAGAGCCCTACAGCAGTAATAATCAACCAAGACAGATGACAGCAGTGGAAAAGTCTAGGCTCAGTGTAACTTCTTTGGAAGTCTAATTGGCTGTTGACATCAAAGAGACTTATTTTATTGATGCAGAGAGTGACTACCCAAATGTTATTTGTTGGTAACAGGGACACTTTGGTAAGAGGCGGAAAAACGTCTGTGACATGGCGAATAACAAATTCTTTACAACCTTGGAGATGGTGGAATGTGCTTACAAAGGCATAAGAAGATGAAGAGACATTGTCATCGCGCCACTCCTTGGTGTGTGGAGTACCTCAGGGTGCGATACTCTCCCCGATGCTTTTCAACATCTTTATGCGCCCCCTTGCCCAGCTTGTCCGGAGTTTTGGGCTGGGTTGCCATCAGTATGCTGATGACACCCAACTATCTGTTGAGGGATGGCCATCCTGACTCGGCCCCAGACACACTGACCAGATGTTTGGAAGCTGTGGCTGGATGGTTACGTGGGAGCCGGTTGAAGCTAAATCCTTCGAAGACAGAGGTCCTGTGGCTGGGACGGGACGATATGGGATTGGGGGGGCAACTCCCATCTCTTGCGGGGGCGCAATTAGTGCCAGCACCATCCGTTAAGAGTTTGGGTGTAATCTTCGACACCTCCCTTTCCATGGAGGCGCAGATTGCAGCTATAACAAAGGCGGCATTTTTCCATCTCCGCCAAGCTAAGCAGTTGGCTCCTTACCTCTCTCGCCCTGACCTAGCCACTGTGATCCACGCAACGGTCACCTCCAGACTGGATTATTGTAACTCGCTCTACGTGGGGCTGCCCTTGAGACTGACCCAGAAACTCCAGCGGGTGCACAATGCTGCAGCGAGACTCCTTACGGGGTCTTCGCTGCGAGATCACATTCACCTGGTGCTATACCAGCTGCACTGGCTCCCGGTGGAGTACAGGATCAGGTTTAAGGTGCTGGTTTTAACCTTTAAAGCCCTATATGGCCTAGGACCCTCGTACCTACGGGACCGCCTCTCCTGGTATGCCCCACAGAGAAACTTACGGTCTTCAAATAAAAACATCTTGAAGGTCCCAGGCCACAGAGAAGTTAGGCTGGCCTCAACTAGAGCCAGGGCTTTTTCAGCAGTGGCTCCGATCTGGTGGAACACTCTGTCACAAGAGACCAGGGCCCTGCGGGACTTGACATCTTTCCGCAGGGCCTGCAAGTCAGAGCTGTTCCACCAGGCCTTTGGCCAGGGCACAGCTTGACTCCCTCAGCAATCTTCGCGGAGCTCTGGCCCAATGGTTGCCAGTGGCTTGAATTAATTAATTTTATGAATGATTTTAGAGTGTTGTTTGTGCTGTACTTTTGTACTGTTTTATTGTTGTTAGCTGCCCTGAGCCCGGCTTCGGCTGGGGAGGGCGGGATATAAATAAAATTTATCATTATTATTATTATTGGTGACACTTTACAGCAGAAGAACTGTGGGGCACCCATAAAAGACTGAATAATCTACAAATCCACTTGCTGACTCCGTACCCAAAATGACATAAATGGTGAAAAAAGTTGACCCAATCTCTATTCCGACTCACTTCCAGAATGCCTTACATTTCACCCCATTTCATTTATTTGTTTTTATTTCCTAGCTTTATTCCCTGCTTCCTGTCTTGCCTCCTTTTTGCTGCTCCAGTTCACAAAAAGGATATTTTATTCACCCTCTCCTCCCCTGCACCCTCAGCACTGCATTGTTGGTTATGGACTTTACTCTGCAACACGGAGTTTTTCAATGCTCAGGAAACTTAGAAGGGTTTTGAAAAAACAAACACATCAATCTGAGCTGCAAGGAGTTATAGGCTTAGGATGCCTTTCAAATTGCTCTGACTGATTGCTTTGTCAATGCCGTTATTATGCTGGTTCATATTAAGTTCCTATCTCTGATTCTCATACTGCCTGAATTCATGTTTTGTTATTTCTGTACTGCAGACCTGCAATGTAAATTCTCTACTGTTCCCGTGTTGAGCATTTGGGATCAATAAACCATTTAATTTGCTTCTGCTACAATCTTGAGCCTCTGGTCCTTCTCGCTAGTTACACTTTACTCACTGGGGTGCAAGCGGGAACACAGATTAATACTGCCCTGTGGAGAAACCAAGCAGGCTGCTGGTGGAAGCACTTCATCTCCCTCCGGCCCCAGAAAGTGACGCTCCCTCCTGAATATCCCAGCACAGAAAGCAAGAGAGCTGGTAGCAGAGGACAGAGCGTGCCTTCCTTCTGCTGCCAGTATTCTGTATTTCTTTGCTAGACACTCAGCAGACAAACCTCCTGCACACCTAGAAAAAAAATATAGTAAGCCAGTGGCAAATGCAAAAGCCATTCTCTAACTCCTCTGCTTGGTTCCTACACTAGATGAGCAGGACACCCCTACATGTCCAGCATAGAAACACAGGGAGACGGCGGAGAAGGGACAAAGCAATATGTGCTTTGCCTTTAGCATGCTTGGTTTTTATGTGTTGGGTATGCAACAGGTGAAGCTCTTTTCTGTGTGATGGAGATAGAACCCAAATAGGCTTGTGGAGGAGGGAGGAATCACTCATTTCTAGCCTTCATAGCCTTCAGAATGTTTCCCATGCGTGCTTTTCACTCATAAGAGAGGCAGACAAAGGAGCGATGGAGTGTTCTGTACATCCAAATGCAGGCCCTCCTAAGAGTAAAAAACAGGCTAGTACCTTGGGGGGGGGGGGTGGAGTAACTTACAAGGCTGTGATAATATAATGAGGACAACAGTTATTGGTCTTGAACCTACTCTCATTCCACTGGCTCATAAGGAAGACCCCTTATAGCTATGAGGATTAGACAGAATAAAACTTAAGATGAATCACTGCATTCACACAAGAAAAATACAATGAATACGCCGATGTTTCAAAACACCACCAGCTTTTAAACGATTCCCAAAAAGCAATGATGTCTACATCACACTAAGCTGGGGAGGGGAACCTGCAGTTCTTGCTTGAATAAAACTCCCATAAATCTCTGGCTGTTGGTTATGTTGGTTGTGGATGATGGAAGCTGAAACCCAATAACATCCTTGGGGTGGTGGTGGGAGAGAAGCATAGGACCTTTCTGACTCACAGATATATATTTATCCATTACAGTTCTATTCAGAGAGAGACTTACTGATTAATGTTTGCTATTGTGTCCATCCAGCTTCGAATGCGCACTTTGTTACGAACATTTGGAGGGTTACTAAATTCATGAATTACACAGATGTGGTATGGGTAGGGACCACTAAATATCTTCTGTTCTAGAGTCAGTGTGTCAACCTGTGGGAAAAAAGGTACAACATGGAATATAACCAAAATAAAAGAACAAAGTACAGTGACATAATCTACAAGCTGTGTCCTATCATCACTCCTAGTTTCCTGATAAAATATGCCATACTTCTCTTTTGAGAAAGCTGCAAGGAACAAAATAGCATGCATATGATGAAGAGATTCTGTACATGTTTTCCAACGAAGCTCTGCCAACACTTACAAAAAGCAGACTTACCAGGGCACCTGATTTTCATTTATCCCCAATACTTCTGCACCTTATGCCATTCGGTTCTGAAGTTCTCAGGAGCAGCTTTATTGGGGTGCCATTGGAAGCTTATCAGAGTAGTGAGGATTAAGAAAAACCTGATGCAGAATTGTTTTCTGAGAATGCAGCACCACTGCATACAACCCACTTAGACATGCAAATTTCTCATTTAAAAAAAAGGGGGGGATGGACAAGACTCAGATGTTGAGGAATACAAACAGTTTTGAGTAAATGAAATCCATCTGACTACCTGCTGCATTGGACGAAGGTAAATGATCCGGTTTCTCTCTGGCGGTATCCGCAGTATCTGATCCAGTACCTGATCCATATTTAATTTCTTGCACTGAGCATAGTCAAATCGATTGACAATCGGTGCGTTCTCTACCTTCAAGTGCTTAAGTACGCGGCATCTGGTGGCTACATATTCCAGGACAAGAAAATTGTGAAGACCGTAAGATAATGTATGTAGGTATTTAGGTTTAGGGTATGGCCTATGGCCACAGACAACCTACCACATTACAAATGTTGGAAAGGCTGTGTTGTCTTATTGCCAATTTGTATGCATTTAGGAACAATAAAATCTTAATTTGCATTTATTTGCTCTCCTAGGGTAAAATTAGGAAATGAAAACTAAAAGCATAAAAAGTGAGAAGTATGACTATGTCTATGCCTTATGTCTTCACTGCTGTCTTATCTTTTTCACCTCCCTGTTCTATCATTATGCAGAAAAATTCTGATAGCCCAGAAAAAAGGAAAAGAAAGAACACCCTTTAGCCCATTAAGTTGGGAAATGAAGCTGCCAGAAATCTAGAAGCACTGACAACTCCTCCTATCCCAAAATTATAACCCTATCTGGAATGTGAAAGCTTAACAGCAGTCATTACTTAAGCATTTATTTTCTTTTTTAAAAATTACATTCATTAAAAATATCAGAGACGATTACAACAATCATACACAAAACCATACACTAAAAACCCTATCAAAAAGTAAAAATCAGAAATCAGCTCACTATTGTGGAAAGATGTATTCTTAATTGCCTGCATAAGCCTGGTGGAATAGAAAGGTTTTCAGCAGGCATTTATAAGTTGGCACAGAAGGCACCTGCTGAATCTCTGTTGGCAGAGGATGCCACAATACCAGGCCAATGACACTACAGGCAGAGTTTCTTCTTGTTGTCAAATGAGCGTCACCAAATGGGGGAATGATCAACAAGGCTCCTGCTGATGATTTCAGTGACTGAGCTAAGATATAATGGTTCAGGTGATCCATGAGGTAGCTTTGACCAGAGTTGTTCCGGGCTTTGTAAATTAATACAAGGACCTTAAACCTGGCTCTGTAGCAGATGGGCAGCAGGTGCAACTGTTTTAATAATGATGTCATATATTGTTGGCCAGATGCTCCCTTGCTGCATTCAGCACCAGTTGGAGCTTCCAAACCTGGTCCTAGAGCAACCCCACATCGCAAGTGTTACAGTAACCCGACTTCATGATTACCAACACATGGGTTACAGCATGGAGTATAGCTGGTGAAATGGATAGGGTTGTATCCAACTATCTCCTCTTGGTTTGTGAAAGGCTCTTTGCTCCAGGGGAGGGATGTGGTTGTTGCACTTTTCCCTTTCTCCCACTGCACTACCACCCATGCTATTTGAGAGTTCCCCAACCCACTGGATCAGACTTTTCCCCTCAAGGGAGAGCAGAAGGAAGGAAACAAACAATGAAAATATCTCTTCCATTCATAGAAGCCTCTGCTAGATTGAAGAGCCTTCTGTGAGCAGAGGGACACAATGGCTAGAGTCCATTATGTTCAGAAAATTAAACAAGGAAACCCTGTGGTGCATCTGGAGATGTCCCAAGTCTGATGAAAATGTATACAAGTTTCCCAGGCATCAACAATTACAATTAAAGTATACATACCGTGAATAAACATCATTTTAGGGCAGTCTTTCAGCACCAGATCTGTTATGCCACAATTTGTCAAAGTGATCCCAACAAGGTTTTTTGATTTCAGTGTAAGAACCTGGAGAAATTAATTTTCAAAATTAAAGACCACTACATGAACCACACACATACAGACAAACAAAACATTTACCAATGGTGGTGAAATCGGGGCAACTAGCATCTTCTGCAGAGTGTGAGCAACATCATAACATAACGATGTGGAAATATTTGACGGGACTCAAGCAGGATGGTTAAAGGGATCGACTGACATACCATTCTACTAGAGGAACTTCTTTCTCCTTGCCTGCTGGTCTTTAGCAGCAGAGATACTCAGACTACAAGCCAGATATGCACTGCACACAAAGAACTTACAGTAAATTCTGTTGAAATGAAACCGAAGAATTTGCTTGCTATCCCCTTAAGACAGAATGTGATTTTTCAGTTTGACAGTGCCCTTTTAAAAAAATACAGTCAATTGCGGAGTAGACCTTGAACCAAAACATTTTCTGCAGCATTTAGGGGCATTCATCCATCTAGGCTGTCAGCAAGATGGCACAGGTTTCCAGCTTGGGGCTCAGAAAGGCCTTACCTGGATATGGTCATCCTCAATCACAGGATCGCTGGTGCTTGTGGACTTGTCGGCCGTCCGTTTTCGCTTCACTGAATGCCTGGGCTTTGGTTTGGTCGCTTCTGGGAACAAAAACAAATGAATAAAAGATTGGACATTTCTTATTTGTGAGCAGCTGTAACAGGAATTGCAGAGTCATTGTGAATGGTTTCTTAGATTAATGAGGGTCTTGGAAGTAGCTGGCCTGCAGTGTTTAGTAATTGTTGTTATTTTCAGTTTATACTGAATACATTTTGCTACACTTATATATTGTATTGTGTGTGTGTACACATACACACACACACATAAACAAAATCCAAATAAGCATATGTTCAACTATCTAAGTTTGATAAAGAGGTCCTGGAGCACACAAAAACTTGCACAGTACTTCATGTCATTTGGGCTGAACTAATGAACACCTTGCCCTCATGTAGATTTTGGAATTGCTCTAGGACTGTAACCTGAAGCATATTTACCAGAAAAAAAGCCTTACTGGGCTCAGTGGAACTTACACCAAAGTGAAACATGGTGAGGTTCAGGCGGTTGTAGGACTTACAACAGCGCAAACAAATAGTGTTAAACCCTTAAGGTTGGGTTGAGATCTGCCCCTCTGCGAACAAAGGCTCATTTTAAAGGATCCCCCAAGTATCCAGAACAGTTTCTGGGGGGCAAGGAATAAGAGCCCTCAGAACAAAGATGCCTCCCACCCTACTGCCAGTGGGAGCATCTTGCTAAATGAATTCCACTTATCTAAACTCTAGCTCCTAGCTTTGAATCATCTACCTATATAAGTCTGAAACTACTTCTACCACTGCAGGAAAATACAAAGCCTTAGTAGTCCAGCGGATTACAAAAATAAAATATTTGTCTAAATAGTGGTTTAGATGAAGACATGATAAGACTTAGTTCCTCGTGGTATTTTTTTCAGATATTGTTGAAAGGTTATAAAAAACCATTAAAACAAAATATAAACAACCAATGTGGTTGGATGGTGTGAAAGGTGCACAGCTGAGAAGGGAAAGTTCGGTATCAGGACCTATGCGCTCTTTCTGTTTAGATTCGCGTCCAATGCATATTTACCCTGGGTCTGCACACCTGCAGGGAAGTGACATTTACAAGAGCTCTGCTCACTGAAGCAGACAAGAGAAGGGGACATGTGGCATAAATATCATCTCCTTGCCTGCATACAGCAAGGAAGAAGAAAAAAGGTTTGAGAATTGCAGTGCTTGGAGAAGTCATTGTACTTTTAGCACCCCAGGAAGGGGGGGGGGGGAGATGGACTACACTACTTAAAAATAACAACCACAGAAACACAGTTCATTGAAGAAATAATAATTTAGGATTCCTAATTTCCTTAGAATTACAATACATACTTCCTTTGGGTAATAAGGAAGCACATAGGAAATATACTTGGGCACTAATTTTGCTGAGTAACTTTTGATAAGTGTGTCTTCAGTAGGAAAACTTGGGCATGGGACACAGCTGATGATATGCTGTGCATCATGTCTCCCTTTTTCTCTTTTATTGTACAACAGGATATTTTAATGCCACCACCGTCACAGATGTGTCTGTGGAGGGGATATATTGATTGAAAATGTATTGTAACTTTTGAATGAATGTTTATTTATTTTAAAAAGTCTATTTCTCAGTTCGCCTTTGGCTCAGCCTTGTTGAAGTCTGCAGGGCCCCTGCAGAACAAGGTCAATAAGCACCACACTCAGATGGCCAGAAAATGTCAGTAAAAAAGGCACTGTGGTTACAGATACACACCATTCAAAAACAAGTCTTATAATTGGGATATTACATGAAACAAATTCAATAGGTGAAAAAGAAAAAGAGTTGCTCGGAGGAATACTGCCACTTTTATCTAGATTTTATATAGCTTTGAATGATTAGGGTTGTTTTACTTAATATGTGATGGAGAAGAAAAAACATTTTGATGGATTCTGTCCAAAGAGATCTCAAAAAGGCAACTAGATTGTTTTAGCGAATATTTAATTCACTAAAATACAGCCATCAGCAACCTCAGTTTTTACAGTCTTCATTTGCTAAATATTTCTTTTTTCTCTCTCCAAATAATCTTTATGAGTTTTCTGGTTACATACTCCACATACACATAATGTGTTGCATTTTACATTTATACTTACTCCTAAGCGCTGACTTCCTTCCTTCCTTCTGTTTTGTTTTATATCACATATAATTTTATCACATTATTTTCATCCATTTTGTATATTGTTATTCATTTTCCATATTTGTCCATAGTATATCCATAAACAAATAAATCCTGTTTATACAATTCTTGTTGTCTGTCTGTATTCATTTACAACTACTGTTAGTTATATTAATCTCCTTATACATTTTGCTTATTATTTTCATTATCCATCACTTTTCTTAATCTTTCCCGTTGTGAGGTTTATTCCCAATTCTACTGGTTTCACTATTTCATCTTATCTTTCCTATATACGGCATAATTTTTTCCCATTCTTTTTGAAATGTTTCCTTTCCCTGTTGTCTAATTTTCCCTGTTATATGCAGGGAATAAGCAGAAATAGCCATTTGCTAAATATTTCAATAAATGTTAAGTTAAAAGAAGTGCAGAATAATATCAAAGCATGAATTTCCTTTGCATTTCTTTTTTAAAAAAATAAAAATAAAAACCCACCTAAATACAGCACCCTCCAGATGTTGGGGGACTCTCACCCCCCCATCAACCACAATCATCAAAGCTAATGGGAGCTGGGGCCCAACAACATTTGGAGGGCACAATGTTGGCTCTCTCAGAATTACAGACAACACATAAGAAGTTATTTTGATTAGGGAAACCTCTAGCTTAGGTTGTAATAAAATTAATAGACCTTAATCATTAAATAACAAACAATCATTAAATAGCCACTAAACCAAGTGAGGTTTAGTGACTATTGTTTTTCAGTTTTAATAACCAATATTTTTCTTTAGGTTACCACCACCCTTTTCCTCCCACCATATAAAACAGCAGTGATCCTTTCAACACTCCGAGAAAAGGAGCAAATCTCAATATTTCAGGTATCGATGCTGAACAAAATTAATTATTTTAACTACTATAATTCAAAGTACTTAAAGCAAAGAATACGAAACTGATAATCTCTGAAATATGTGTGTGTGTGTGTGTGTGTTTGTTCTTGGTATAAGCTTTCGTGTGCAAATTCTTCCCACTCCCCCAAAGTAATTTTACTCTTGGAAAACAAACCAAAGACCTGCGAAAGCAAGACGTGCCTCACCAAATAAGCACTTGAATTTTGGAGGGTAAAATGAAGGGAAGCCTTAGACTATGGAGGCAGAATGAACATGAGTACACATGTGCTTACGCTGTTACAGTGGTGCCCCGCAAGACGAATGCCTCGCAAGACGAAAAACTCGCTAGACGAAAGGGTTTTGCGCTTTTTGAGTCGTTCCGCAAGTCGAATTTCCCTATGGGCTTGCTTCGCAAGACGAAACGTCTTGCGAGTTCTTGCGAGTTTGTTTCCTTTTTCTTAAAGCAGCTAAGCTGCTAAGCCGTTAATAGCCGCTAAGCCGCTAATAGCCGTGCTTCGCAAGACGAAAAAACCGCAAGACGAAGAGACTCACGGAACGGATTAATTTCGTCTTGCGAGGCACCACTGTACTTTCAAACAAAACTTGCAGTAGGATTGCCATATTACATGTTGTCAACAACAACGGGAAACTCCACCCATCAATCATTCAAAGTGGGTAGACAAAATGCATTACAGGATAATTAATTCACATTAGGAAACGTGCACTATCGCTTAAAGGTACACATATGTAGTTGCATGTTGGTATGGCAGAATGTGCCCCAAAGGCCAACAGAATGTTAACTTGGGATGAATGTAGGCCTATTGCTGCAGTGAGCAGAAGCAGAAATGCAACATGATCTTCCCAACTGCTTTGCACACACATGAACATCAATATGACCAGGGCCAACAAGTTACAATTTGAGGCCACATGGACACCCTAAGGGGCAGCATCTTGCTCCCAAACGTAAGCTGCATCTCTGAAAAGTAGCATGAGATCTGGCACAAACCAAAGCTGGTGATGGGTAGTGGAAGTGTGTTAGCTTTCCCTGCCTTTTTGCCTGCTGGGTCATGACAACGTACCTTCCGCCATTCCTCTTCTACTCACGAGCTGTATGGAGCAACAAAAGCTTGTCTCGGCCTCTACCAGGTAGCTGGAACCTCAGGGCAGCTCTAAGGGACAAGCTTTCTCTATGCCCTTCCAGATCAGTCTCTGCCTGCTGGGTGGCTGAAGCTCCACCTCCTCAACAGGCGCAGAGAAAAAGCAACCATGCCTATGTCACAGCGGGAGCCATCCTCTGAGCCAATCTGATTGATAGCATCACTCGACTGGTGTCTTGCGAAAGAGTCTTTCTGGGTGAAAGACTCTGACCTTAGTTGATGATCTCCCAAACTGGAAAGAATCACCTTGAACTGGAAGTCATTATCTGGTCTTGCTATGTTTAAGGGAAACTGCTCTGAGAACAAGTATGCAGCAAGAAAAATGTCTCTTCTGATAGGAACGACTGAAAATGAATGATTTCCTGGAATCTAACGGGTTTTTGACAAGCACACATTTAGGAGCGAGTCTGAATCAGTCCTGCCTTTAATCAGGTTAAGGAATAGAGATCCTTTTGATTTAATTTTGCTTGGAGTTATATTACCTTGTGATTATAGGATAAATGGAATAGAGAGAGAAGTAATTATTATTTTTTTATAAAACTGTTCTAGAATATATGACTTTTGCACTGCTCTCATTAAATATGTTCCTAAATTTCTTGCAATTATTTTAACCATGTTTTATGTAAATATATATTTTTGTAATGGGAGCTGGGTAACAAGTCTGCTGAACCTACCATTAATGTGCCAAACAAAGCCTCAGCAGAAGGTTGCTTCCTCTCATGGGTGAAATACCAGTTAAGCCCCGATTCCTGGAAATAACTCCTAACTGGAAGGTATTCATAAAAACTTCCTGAAAGCAGCTATAAATGTGGCATCTGCACCGATCTAATGCAGTTCCGAGCCAGAAGTTTCTTTTTGCTCTCTGCTTACACTCAGCAATGCTCCCAGTCTCCAGCTCAAGAACTGGAAGGAAGACTTGGGCTTGTTCTGCATCCCAGAGCCTGGATGGGCCATCACCTAAGATGGCTGCACCCAGCATAGAACTGCTCTACGCTTTGAAAAAACATATACCAGAAACAATATGATTTAGGTGTGGTGAGAAGTTTCAAAGGCTTATGTGATCACAGAATCCAGTCAATATTCACCAAGTAGCTATCAGTAAGCTTATGTTTTCATTTTGAAAGCAGGCTTCAAATCAGTTTATAAGTATTTGTATTTCAAGGAATCTCCCCCCACAAAAAAAAAACTCTCTCAAAGAGCCAGTACTCAATTATCAACACCCAAAACAAACCAACACAAGAACAACAGAGAGTAAATGGCATTTCTGCTCTGACATTACGACAATGTGGCTGGTCCTCGCCCTTCTTTGACAATAATGCACTGCTTTGATGCAAAACTTGGATAAATGAAACCATACCTGACTGAGACACCAGAGGCACATGGGAAAGTCTGCTTCTGGCTCTCGTGAGAGGCCTGCGAGGGTAATCTTCATTATATTCCATTTCGTATCTCCCTTGCTGTGAAGGAGGGCTCCGTTCCTCATTAGCAGTCCCACAGACTCTCTCATTAGTCCTCCCATTGCTGGCCTCTCCTGAAGAGCCACAGTTTGGTAATGTTCTTAGGGAGAATTCCGCCCCTCTCACATTTGGCCCATTCATACCACAAGCTCCACTGGTAGATGGGCATTCGCCACCCGAGACGCCATTAGTCCTCCTTTGCTGGTTCTGGGGCATATAGCAGGAACACCTGGAGCACAATGGCTTCTCCTCACTGTCCCTCTCGCTGGAGCTTTCACTCTTGCAGAGACACTTCCCAGAGTCCTCTGTTGCTGCGGAGGGAGTGTCGCTGCCGCTATCAGCCGTTTTCATACCATCTGGGCTTGGAGACGCTGCAGTGTCCGAGGCCCCCGGAGGCCCAGTGCCGCCACCACAACCAGGGTAACAATCCTTGCTTTTGTTCCTTTCCGCTGTCACGTCACTGGCCGCTTTCATATCCGCTTTAATTTGCTCACTGGTGACCTGACAGCCTTTCTCGCAGCTGCTCTCCTCAGAAAGAAACAGTTTCACCCGGCTGGCATTGCACCTCTTCCGCAGCGGAGCTTTGCCTTTACCGCTCACTGCAACAACAACAGGGACAAAAGGGAAGAGAGCTACGATGTGATAGAAAGTCATGGAAACGCACCCTGTTAGTTATCAACACACCCCAGACAACCTGGCGAGACACCTGCTGCGACTGTTGCAATGTTATTCCAAGCAGGAAAAGATATTGTGCAGATATGTTGAGTTACTTCACTTACTAGAGGTTCACGCCTTGAATCAGTATGTTTAAACATACTGGGAGGAATTCAACGTAGCACTAAGCAGACTGCTCTGTCAGCACAAGCATTTCTACTTGTCTGATGGAGTGATCTGCCCTCTTCTCCCCCTGCCTATAGTTCTGGGGGTTCCTTCCCTGCCCAGGGCTAACTGGAGGCAGGGTGGGAGGAATGGGGAAGTCTTTTGTGCTAGCGGAAGTCCTTGTGCACACTTCCACCGGTGGCACTACTTAGTTGAATCTGACCCACTGTACTGCACACAGTCAAGCTGCTCAACAGGCTCAAATTAGTTGTTGCACCTAATTTCTTCTTACGGTAGCTACCTAGTTAACAAGGAACATTTACAGCCCTGCCATTTATTTATGAGAATCTTAGTTTTCAAATAATTTCCTTTCTTCCTGGACTAAGTTGTTCAAAAGATATGTTGATAGCGCCCCCACCCACCCCTGATGCACTTACCCCTCAAGTTTACATTGGCATACTTTTTAACCAGAAGGTACGGCTTGTGGAACAGTAAAATGTCTACAGTATCCTGGCCTCCTGCCTCATATTTTGCTGATGTGCTTTGTCCCCACTTTAGGTTGCAGGGAGGCTGTGCAAGAAAGACACAAGCCGTGAAGAAATAAAGGTAACTGGGATCAAATCCCTCAGGAATCTGCTAGAGAAATAGATTACAGATGCTTAGCCTGTCGAATCTTAGCAAAGCATGTGGAAGTTTTCATCCAAAGCCTTTGAAGTCGTTCAGTCAATTCTGAACGAGCCTACATGCAAAAAGGATTACAATTCACTTTAGAATTCAATTCCTCATTATATATGAACTTGGGGGACTGCGGTATAGTCCAACCACAGAACACAAACCAGAATCAAACTGTTGTACAATTTGGAAGTACAAACTGAACCGCAATCCAGTTGATGGAAACCACCCAATAACTGTGATCAAAGGGACCATGAATACCAAGTAGCCTATTTCAGTTTCAGCAGAGCTACCTCACACAAGTGGTTTTGGTGGCAACTACACCACCACTGTCATGTAAGAAGGCATCACTCTTGCAGCTGATCTGCAGAAATATGGAAAGAACAACAGAAATGGACATGAGGGAAATCTATCTATCTTTCTAAAGCTGGACCACAACCACTGCGAACCACATTCCACAGAAAACTTATTTCTGCATTTTGTGCTTTGTAACACAATAAGGAATATTTTTACGACATGTATGAAGAAGCAAAAATTCTCACCTGAGGGCTCCCGGATTTCCACTGAATCTCTGACTCTCTCCTCTCCATCTGAGTAATTTTGTGCAATGCTATTTGTAATACAGGATCTTGAGGTGGCTGTATTCTCATCCTCATCTTCACTGTCTGAGTCGTGGACAGTAATAGGTGCTAGCTTTACATTTGGCTGAAGGCCACTGGGCCCTGGAAAAGAAAAGAAAGTTCAGCAACCAACTAGCATGCTTTCCAGAGATCAGGGTGCTTTAATTCACCTGACTAAGCAACTTACTCCTTCAAAACATGCATACAAAGTAGTTGGTTTTTACATGGTTAGTTGGCATACCTAAGGACCTTCTGCACTCATACACCTGGCTAGGTCTCTCTTCACAGTTCCCCTCAAACACCAACAACGCACAACACAGTAGAAAAGAACGAACAAAACACAACATGTACTGCATGAAGAAGATTTATTGCTCAGATAAGTCCTGGCGTCCAGCCCGCTTCGGCTGCGCAGCTACCGGCCAGGCCTCCGCACTTCAAACTCCACATTCCAATGCTCTGAGCAAACGCAGAGATCAGCAGCGGTAAGAGAAAGCTGCAAACTTCAGTGCATTCTTCAGTGTGCTTAAATAAAGTCCAGACAGGATCTTAGCAGCTAAAAGCAGTTTTATTTAAGCAGAAACTATCCATTGTCAAACAGCATTGTGAAAACACGTCCACTCTCCTCAAAAGCGAAAGTAGAGAAAAAAGAACAAAGGCTGGAGACTCTCGGATATGACACAGAATCTCCCCCCTCCCAAATAGTAGGCAGGGCGTACACTCTGAGCTGTTTAACCCTGTAAGCTCAGGTTCTCCTCACACTGCATTGTGTTTGGATCTGGAGTTATTCTTAGTGTTACGCTGTGATCTTCTCCTCTTACTTTATTAACCCCTTCCCCACCAATTTGATCAGCCCACCTCACAATCCACCAATCTGCACTGCAATTAGAAAGCACAATGTGCTTTATAAATTGCAGGCACTGTACTGAGATTAGGGATGAAATCCAACAGTACATCCGCCAGCCAAATTGACACAATTGACAAAAAAATTCCCTGCCCCCTGCAATCCTTCTACACTCCCCCTCTAAATCTGCTCCAGAAAGTTAGAAGACCCTCAGGAGCAGATGAATATTTGTATGTGTGGGTGGCAGAAGGGCCATTCAATGTTGGCTATTGCCCTACGTGCTTATTGTTTCTTGCACAAACATGGAAAAAGCAAAGAAAAATTAAAGCCACAAGGTATCTCACAGCAGCAAAGATGTTTACAATTAGAGATGGGCTTCAAGACTTCTCTAAGGGTGAAAAACAACCACCTCTCCTTGGTTAAGGCGCCACATGTGTACAGGCATCTCTGTACAGCATAGGGCCCTCAAGAAGCGGGGGGGGGGGGGGGGGGGAGAATTATGTAGATCAAAGGTAAAAACTGAGGAGAAATTATATGTAACAAAATGAAGCAAAGGAGAAGGATCTGGACACAGCCTGAATCAAAACTGAAGCAATTTGAAGCACGCACACAACTGTGTGCTCAAACGCTGAATTTTATCTAGCTGTACAAACATCAGGATGATGGCAAGAACTCAGTTTTAGAATTTCTTATTCCCTAAACTGGAAATAGATCTGGGAAATATTTACAGTGTGGTGATGTATGAAGAGGTAGCTCTGAAGCTGGTGATACTAATTTCCGCACTGTTGATATTGGGCAGCAAAATGGAACCATCTCCAACTTCTTGAGAAAAAGCAGGTTAGCGAATTAAAGTAAGGATGAATTTGTAAGAGAACGGCAAACAAATGAGGTACCCAATCTCATTTATATCCCCTTAGCATTTACCGAACAGAGAAGCACTGGGTGGAAGTAAGCCCATGGCCTACTGTGGGATCAAACTGACATTTTCCTACCTAGCAAATATAGCTGCTTATGATTAAAACGCACACTGCAAATGGAACTTTTTAAGAACAAGAAATTAACCACACAACATCTTAGAGACTTTCAGGGCCAAACCAGAAGCAGCATGGAAGCATACAAACTGTTTCACAACTATTCTTGGTTTGACTTTAATGCATCTGTGAAGAGCTCCAAATCAGACTGAAGCACAGGAAGCACTGCTTAACACTTTATTCACAGGATATTACCGTGATCAAAACCCTGCCCCCTTCTGGCTACTTTTCCCCCTGCAGGGGAAACCATACTAGGTCATCATCAGTTTGGCCCTGAAGGAAAAACAGCTACTGACACGGTGGAGGGGCAATTCTGATTCAGTAAACAGCCTAGATGGAAGAGAATGAGCCGCTCCCCCCGCCCTAATTAAACGCATGAGTTGAAAACAGAAACTGTTTGGCGACATGCCGCAAGTCTCCCACATCAAGTCAACTTTGATCCTGTGTACAAAGATATCTAATGTGCTGTAAAACAAGTGACTGAGAACAAGCTGCTTGGGTGATTAGTAAAATTTGCTAATACCAATTCAGCTTCTCCTATTGGGGGCTCCCCTCTCTATGATGCTATTAAAAGGTTGCAAAGAGAGGAACACTGGCCATGAGACCACGTGCAATCAAGGCAACTCAAGACACAGCATATGATCATCTTAAACACCTCACAAGTTATTAATTACACAAAAGTATACCTGTCAGGTAATACATGCAAGAACCCCAGTCACCTGCATTGAAAACTTAACAATCAACAGAGGATGTCTTGGCAGTCAGAGTAGAGCTAGTTGGAGCTTGCAAATCCATAGTTCAAATCTTGCCTTGATTATTTGGCCTTAGGTAAATCAGTATTGGCCCCTATATCTGCAATATGGAGGTAATAATAGTGGCTTACCTAGCGGAAGTGTGCTCAAGCTTTCTGAGATGATGTGTACGAAACACTTTTTGCATCCGATAAATGACTATAAATGCTAAATACCGTGGTTAATTTTAAGCTATAGAATTATTCAAGTTCACTGACTTCACAGTTCTTAAATAGTTTGCATTATTAATTCTAAAATAAATGCTATTGATATCTCTAAGCAACAAGCAAACAAACTTTTTTTTGTAGTAAGTCAATGAAGCCTGCAAATGGGTGGGAGAGATCCTGACAAGTTACCTGCTTGTTCTTCATCAACTTCCATGGGAAGAAGTGCCTGATTAGTTGCAGAGGCTTCACTGCGGCTCTCTGCCATAGCCACTCCATCTTCCTGTGCTACCTCCTCCATTTCATTCAGTGCTGCAGAGAGAGATAAGAATGACTGAGATAAGGAGGATGAAGACACCACTCTTTATTAAGGAGGCAGAAGCTAGTCACACATAATTGCACGACAATCTTAGGAAGTTTCCAAAGCACTGCGACTATGCAGGAGCATCTGTCTTTGCCCGGGAAACTTAACAAGGCAGATCTTCACTAATCTGAAAGGTATTTAGATCCATTTCTATATTGTAGCTTTCAATGAGGACTCTGCCCTTTACAGAAATCATTCTCAGACAGAAAATGGGGGGCTTCATGCCAAAAGAAGAAAGTGAATTTAAACTGATGAATGAAAACTGAAACTACTAATTTAACTGTATAATATTTATGGTGGTTGTTATGCCAGGAGCATTAAGTCACTTTAGAGCTGTTAAATAGGAAGAAAATACCATTAACTGGTTTTAAGTCCTCCTGCTGTGGCAACATTATATATTAACGAGAAATGAGAAAAGTGTTATTAATGCCAAATCAAAATGAACAGCTTTATAGCATTTTATGTAAGTGCTAGGCATTGCTCAGACGCTTAGGAAATACAATTGTGAACATTAATGGCTTGAATATCAATTGGAGGTGTTAATGTGTGCTTTATTGGTCAATAAACCAATAATAGTCTGCAGCGCCTGGAGACAATCAGGTCAGGTATCCAAAGCAGTGACCAAAGGGGAAATGACTGCTGGGAGCAGTGCAGAAAGAAGAAATGCCATGGTACACTTGCATGAGCACAAGCAGATGCCTTCATCTGAAAGAAAACATGACTCCCATATTGGTCTCTGCAGCCACAGCAGGCACTGTAACTCTCCAGTGGTTTGACTTCACCCCCAAAGGCGCCCTCCCAAGACAGATGGACGCCGACCAATTTACTGGTCCAGTACTAAAAACAAACAAATAAAACTGTTTCCTGAATTACCTTCTGCTGCAATCTGCTGTTCTTCCACCTGCTCCTCCTGTCGCAGCTCGTTCTCCTCGTTCTGGTCATTTGGTTGCTGGTGGTTGTTATGGTGTATATTGGCATTATTGTTCTGGTGATTATTATTGTTGTCGTTTTCATTGTTGGAGTTCTGATTGCTGACCAAAGCAGAGGACACACCAATCCCAGTGCCTGCACTAAGACCTACACGAGCACAACCCTGAAATGCAGTAAAAATTGTTGACAGCAACTGGCAAGAGGCTCCAAAACAAAACACAGTTTGAAATCAGCGATATCTTCCATGATACATAGACCACAGTGTACTGCTTCTTAAACAAAGAGATTTGAAGCAAGCAATTCCACGTTGCCAACTGCTCTTAACCTCTGCACGGCCATTTCAAACCTCCTGCCCTGAGACAAGTGAACACTTCCCATGAGCCAAACCAACAAGGTTGTGATGTACAAGTCAATCATGATACTGTGAGCTATACAATGCTACCTTTCTGGTTACCAGTTGGTTCAATATGAAGAGACAGAACACTACAAGTAACATTAGGAAGGTGTTGTGAGTCATCACACTATTAAGACAAGGAAGCACAACATGCTTTTGCAGAAATCTATTGCGTAAATTTATTCTATTTATGGAGGAGAATACATAATTGTGGGAAAATGTAAGAGGGGATATGAAGTTGGTTTGTAGCTAAGGATGCAACCCTACTTACTGAACAGTAAGCAACATTAATGTAGTGGACTTCTGAGTAAACATGCACATGACTGCACAGCAAGTGAATAAAATTTCATGAGTGGTGGCTATAACTTTCCTCTGTGGTTGGCTTTGCCTTGCCTTCTGCTTCCTTTCCTTCTCCGTCCTTTGGGGCCTTCATCTCTCACTCTACTTCCCCAAATCCCTTGCTGTTGCTCATTTATATTTCTTCATTTACATTTCAAGACAAAAGCCACACTCGTCACTGCTCACATTTATTTTATTTTATTTTTGCTTTTTTTAAATGTATTTTTATTAAAGATTTCTTGGTTTACAAAAGTATGTGCAATGTCTCTTTTTTCAAGTTACATTTTCTATAGATCAGTTTCGTTTGCTGAGACATTAGTGTTACATTAGGAAGAAAGGGGGGAAAGAGGTAGAGGTAGAAGGGGAGTGGTGAGTGGGGGTGGGATCGGGTGGCAATGTTTCTATTTTACTTCATGTATGTGTGGGGTTTTGTGTCAGCGTCGCTTGTGCAGGTTCTCACATTTATTTTTAACCCTTGATTTCTCACCATGTCAAGCAGAGAAGTATCTGCATCTTTCCCTAGTCTGGTGCAAATTGGTTGCTAAGCAAGCAAGCCTGAGATAAGGGTAGGAACTGGAATAGCAGCTTCTGATGATACAGAGGTACAGCTGTCTTTCTAAAGTAGAAGACAGCAGTGCTGTACCATATGCAGTCCCTAGGGAGGAAGGGACAGGTGTGTGTGTGGGGGGGTGCTTTTTCCTGGGTGAGAGGCTGTAGGCTTCCCAAACATATGCTATTATTTCAGCCTGTCTCAGCTTTTACATAATCCCTCTCCATCAAGGCAGACAGATTCACAGAAGTGTGATACATTGCTTCAGAATATATGTAGTGAAATATGCAAACTAGTCATGGCTCTCTGGTTTTGATAGTCTTCCTGTATTGTTCAATCTTGGGCAAAGTAAGAGATTCCATGACATAATGAATGTAATTTTCTTAAGCATGAAATGAAAAGAAAGGGGGAATGCAAAATATAAAGATCAGCAAGAATTCCAGCAAAATGAGATCGTTGCAGCGATGTAGACGTAATTCAGACATTCTTGTAACAAGCTTCTTGCTTATTATAATTTGCAGTATTTATACTAATTACAGTGTAAGTAGTAATTATAGTAGTAATTATACTACTATAATTTGCAGTACTGAACTTGTTTTCATTTTCATGTTACTGCTTTCCTAATATGGTCACTGAACCATGGTTTGAATGTTTAAAAACAGTTACCTGAAGTACTTTTTAATTAGAAGTTTTAAAAATACATACCAAAAGTCTGGTATATTTCACATATCCTAAAGACATTTGAAGCACACAGCAAAGTACACTTTAAAAAACCCAAACACCTTACCTTGGGAGGTTCCCGGAACATCTGGTCCAGAGAGATAAACTCCAGGCTTGGCAGTAATTCAATAAACTGACTAAATGAGTCTAGTTTTATTGCATGGCATCTCACCAAGGTGAGATCAAACAGCCGAGTCCATCTTGAATGATCTATTGCAGAGTGGGGAGAGTGAGCGAAATAAATGAACTTAATTAACAGATTTCTTACCTAAAATCTGCTTAACTATTCCCCACTTAAAGTTCTAAGTTTCAATTTAGAATCGTCACCATTCTAAAAAAGGTATACTTCCTGGTTATTCTGATGCATCCACTCTTAACTGAGGTCCTTTGCCTACTCAGAATGGCAAAAAACAAGTGACTAATAAATCTAGCCTTTTGCAGTTGGTTGCTAAGACTGTCACTATGGCCCAAAAGAATTTAGCTTCCTAATTGAAAATGTATTCTCTTAATTTTGGAAAAACAAGAACTGAACTCCATTTCTTAGAGACTGGAGTTGTGTAGCACACAATCAATTAGCTCTTAGAAGGGAAATAAAATAGGGAAAGGAAATAATTTTGTTGACTGTCCAAGATTTCATTTAATCAGTAGGTTTTAATGGGATGAATCATTCTGGTAGGAGCTTCTGTTGATGAATGGTCCCCTTTATGAGCCCAACTTTCACTCTATGAACAAAATAAATTTTAATGGATCCCACCCATTAAAATCTGCTGGCTAAACTTGAAATTTTAGTCAATCGCAAAGTGGCATTCCCCCTTCTATTGATTACTTCTAGGGATCTCAAAAGTTTCAGGGTACACAATTCCTGGTGGCTTGTAGGTGGAGTAGATGGAGAACCCCCATAGCATGTGAACGTATTAGAATAGCCAGGAAGTACGGATTCCTTTATAATGGTGGCACTCTGCCTTTTTACCTCAACAAACCCAAATACAATTTATCAAATCATCATCATCATCACCAAAACAAGATCAAGGCATCTAGTATGCAGCCAATTAAAAGCGGAAGAATGGGATATGTTCAAGAGATATCTACAAAAAAATAACAGTGATATACTATCTATGGCACCGTTTGAATGACCCTTGTGAATATAAAACATTGAGAAATAAGGGGAAAGGGTACGATATGTTGTAAGCAAGTATTAGAAAATATATTAAGATGAAGGAAATAATCATAAGTACATTCACTATTATAAATGTAAATTATATCGTGAAATGATAGGAAGTTTACTTTATTTTATTTTATGTTATTCTATGTTATCGTATTCTATTTTAGTTTAGTTAGAATTTATGAGGAAAGAGAACGTTTAAGTCTAAATTAATCTTTCACGTTAAATTTATTTAAGATTATTTTTCTTTCTTTGTACTTGTACGTGTGAATTTAACAGTGTATGATACCAAGGAACTTCAAAAAAGTTTTTTTTTTTTAAAAAAAGCAGCAGCAAATCTCTGAAAGAATATTCAAATTTGCTTACCAAAAGCTCAAAAAAATAAATAAAACCACTCTGAATTTTCATCAAAAGCCAAGAGAGATGGTGTCAAACAAAACATCACAGGAAAGGGTATACATAGTTAGTGTAACACAGTTAAGGCCCCATCTCTGGTTGCCACCTGCTTAAACTCTGAAGTCATACTGGAACTTAAAGGTGTCTATCCGAGAAGTGTAATAATCACTAGCAGTGGTCAATTTAATTAAGTGGGGCTGCATTTCGTTTGCTAAAGTGCTTTAACCCCTTAACCAGATATGTTCTTGTGCACACGGTACCTGTGATCCAACTGCTTGGATTGTGCAGATGAGGACAGTTGTATATAACAAGGTATTTAATGGAAGAGAACACTTCATTCACCGCTTTCATTCCAATGTCTGTGATGATGCCTGGATTTTCAACCACGTCAGCCAAGCCATATTTCACGAGGTCCGCATTAATCATTTTACCTGGGGTCAGGGGGAAGAGAACAGAAAAAAATAGCAACTTGCTCTTTCCATAATTCTCTACAGCAATTCAGTCTGGGCACTGAATGAGCGCTTGAGTTTATCTGCTGGACCAAACAATGGGAACAGTAAAGAAGGTAAAGTGAAGCCTTTAAAAATCAAAGTGCTTCAAAAGGTTGCAATTTCAACCATCATTGGTCTATAAAAGATACGGTCTTTATATTGCCTTTCACTTGTTTTAAACTAAAAACCTTATCCATCAGAACTGCCAATGCAATCTCCCTGCCCCTTGCTTTATAAGGAATCAGTATGTCTAGTTGTGTCCCCCCCATAAGGGTACAAATCGCAGGGCTGGGTACACAAGAGAGCAGGTATGAAGTAATAATGACATTCCAACCGACCTCCCATCACATCTATCCATATAAAACATCTCCAGAGACTTAGGATATTTACATTTGCTGCTTGCCTGGGATGAATGTCAAGTGAGCAGGCAAGTGGCAAATACACGTCCCTTCCTGCTCCTGAAGTCTTGCTTGTGCCAGTCCCTAGACTAGCACTGGTCAAAAATGTTTGTCCCTGTCTCCTGGCAAATCAGAAAGAGCAGCAGCCCTGAGGCAGGAGCCACAATCCTCCCCTGTATTTCTATGGCTGGGGAAATGCCAACACATGCTGTGATTATTTCCTCTGCACTTGCACACTTATTCACTTCTCTTCTGGAAAGAGGGACAGTTCATATGCAATAGGCAGAAAGAAAAGGAGGAAGGGATAGCAAAAAGAGCTGCCTTCCAATTTGGACTCAAAATAGTGCACGTCACTATTGTAGCGTTTTCATGCACTACTGACTCCACACCACATGGGAATTCTGAAGAATGTGGATTGTTTCCATACCACCAACAGATGACACCACAAAATCCAATGCCCACATGTCCATATTTGCACAAGCTATTTTAGTCTGTGTAAGACATCTGCAGGTGTTATCATGGAAAAGCATCAACAGGGAACTAGAGGCTGCTCATGCATTACACAAGGATGCATCATACAGCAGCTGGCCTCTCTAAGATTAGAAGCATATAGACCAGGGATGGGAACCTGTAGCCCTCCAGATTTATTGGCCTCCCATCAGCATGGCCAATAATCAGACATGATGCTGTTGGACTACAACTCACATCTGGAAGTTGAAAGGTTAGCTCATCCCCGATCTAGGCAGATAACATCCAGATCTACCCTAACATCTGACAGATAACCCAAAGGAAAATTGAAGGATTTCATACACTGCAGCAAAAACTCATCAACGTATCCAAGATGTAGTGTTTCAAATTGTGGAAACTCCAATTCTGCCATTTTTAGTGCAGAGAATACTCCATCTTTGGTTAGGGAAGGCTGGATTCGTACTTCGTGCAACCTGAAAAGAGATGAAACAAAATGAGAAATGTAACAAAATGTTAGTGTAGACTAACAAATATTTCCTGGCACAGAATATGCACATTCACATAGGAGACAATTCTTCTATTGTTTGTAACTTGCAAGAAGAATATGCCTATCACTGTGAGAGCAATCTCAGGCTGTATACCATAAAATAGGCTTAAAACCACAATCGTCAATCATTTTTTAAAAAGCAAGGAGCAGATAAAATAGCAGCAAAAGCAACACCAATACCACATCCCTTACAAAAATTAATATCTTAATAAAATCCTGATCAAATCAATGGGTCCATAGCTAGCACTGAAAACTCATAAGGGCCAGTTGTCAGTCACAGGTCTAAGAGGAGGGCATTCCATACTTAAGGCATCATGGCAGAGAAGGCCCTTCCCTTGGTTGTTGCACAACAGATTTCCATTAGCTGCAGAGCAACCAAAACAGCCTCCTTAGCTGATCCAAGCCCACAGGCGAGTTGATATGGAAGGAGACACATCTTCAAATATTTAGATCCCAAATTGCTTACGGCTTTATAAGTCATTATTAGCACCTTGAATCTGGCTCATCAACAAATGGGCAGCCAGTGCAATATTGTGAGGATTTTTAAAAATACGCTATGATGAAAAATAAGGCATTGCAGAATTAAAAGCAGTGCACAGAATTCACTAACATCAGTATGCAAAGGTCTATTAATATAACTTTTGTGTATAAACATAATGGTGACTCACTGGCAAATAAAATTAAAAGGAGAAAGACTGCTGAAATGATTCAAGTACCTTCGTGCAGCAGTTATGATGAGGTAGCCAAGGTCCACTTCCAGAGCATTCTTGCAGGCTCCCAGAACTATAGTGTGCAAATTTCTAAAGCCCCCTGTTGATAGATAAGAGGGATTCACTATATTTGAGTATCAATACGAAGCCTCCCTGGAATAATTATGTACACAGTGTCTTGGAAAAACAACAGCAAAACTCTACAGTTTCATCTCAATATAGGCTCCACCAATCCTTGTCTATAAAGGATAGTCTGACTAAAGAAACAAACTTAAATTTGCTTCAGCACATTACTATTTATTGAGCATACACCAATCTCAATGCTTGTACCCAATTACAACACACTCACAATAGACCAGCTGAAATAGCTGGACCTGAATAACTTAAATCCATTGATTTCAGTAGGGTTACACTGAGTATGACTTAGCTAGATACAAGTCAGTATCCAAAAAAAAAACCCGTGTGCTCTGCAATATCTGAATGGAATGATGTGTCTCTTTTTATCATGGATGCACAGATTGGGAAGCAGCTGTTAGTATATTTCTGAGCTGTATACATGGAATAAAAAAGGACACCAATTCTCAAATGTTGGCAAGTATATAATTTTTCTCCCAACAGCAATTAATTAAATGGCAGCAAATGTGTTGTCTGCAACCTCCACAGGCCATTCACTGGTGTGAAGAAAGACTTCCCCACTGCCTTTTCTAGCATGCTTAATATCTCAACAATAAAGCCCTGTTACAGCACTTTCAAATACAGCAGACATTTGACACCCACAATGCTTCTTTTCACAATGGATAGATTGCATGAGAAGAATCTAGCTGAATATCAATGGAGGCTCTGGTTCACAGAAAATGGTGTGTTTGTGAACAAGCTAAGGCTAGCATCACCTACAGCATGGTGAATGTACATGCTGGGACCATGAGTGAACAAGTTCTTAGTCTCCCATGTAGTCTAAGGCAGAGTATTCAGCATCGTGAAATCCAATTATTGGTTTAAACTTTAAAGAGAAATATCTAAATTTACCTATTACCTTCACTTGCTTTCACACAACACCACCACAAAGTCTTAGAAAAGTAAATACTGTCAGTAGTTGGTTTCAAAGAACAAATTTTGTATTGCAAGTAAGAGACTGCATACCAGATCTCCAGCTGTCTTCTACAACATGCTGAATAAGACCCCCGAGGAAGGGAACTCGAACTAATTCTAGATGTTCCAGATTTCGGGCAGAAGCCAATCCTGTGACCAAGGGGACATACTTCAACGAGTTTGTGGGTCCTACAAAAGACAAAAGACAGAAATATTCCAGTAGTCAGCAGAAAATGCCCATATGAACAGATTTACAGAGCTATAGTTCTGTATTGCTACAGAAGCACTATAGGAAGTTCCATGTTGAAAGCAACAACGCACCTGGAAAACATATTAGATAAAATTGCCAGCAAAGACGTAGTTCAATTCTCACAATGTTAAACTGACTAAATAGTCATTTGGTTGTTAAGCAAGTTATTTGCTATTTCCTTATTCAAACTTACTTTGAACACAGATCCACATTCACTGTTAGTAAATGAGAAGCATACCCTCCCCTCCCAATATAAATTCGAGAAAGGGACCTCGTGCTCTTTTACCTGCACAATTTCTCATGACAAAAGTGCGTAAACTGATGCAAAGGAAATCTTTAAAAGGCTGTGGTTTGGTGAGCCTCACCCACTTCAGGTACAGGTGCCTCAGCATTGGGATGCAAGGAATGTCAGGTACATTAACTCCTAAAATACAAGAAACAAAGCAGTATGTCAGGTCCAAAAAGCAGACACTTCAAGGACAAACACTTAAAGGCTTAATTTTTGTAGGGGTGTGTGCAAGCAATACCTGCAGACTAGTACTTTAGTCTGCAAATGAAACAGTGTTCAAGCTGAGAATTCAGCACAAGTGAAATAAGTGCACTTTCTGATTTCACAGCTTTTCAGTCATGATGTATCCACTGGAAGTATTTCACTACAATGCTTACCTACTAAGTGCAAAGTCTGAATTTTAGCTCCTATTGGTATTTTTAGTTTATTTTCAGCTGGAATTGGGAAGGCACCATTGCGATTTCGAAACTTTCCAAGGATGTGAACTTGTGGCATGTATGTCCAAATGGCTTCTACCAGTTCCAAGTGGGAAGTTTCAACTCCCTAAAGCAAAAAAACAAAAAACCCAGTATAGAATGATGGGAAATCTCAATCATTAGCATAAGCGCTCTCGCACACACACTCTCTCTCAAGTAACAATTAGTAGTAAGAATAATCTTCAACATTTGAGCTCTTTCAATTCATGTAAGCAGCAGTAAAAAAAACCGAACTCAATCGACACATGCATTTCTTAGTTATGATGTTGTAATAACTCATGCCTAGCTTACACTGCAATAGATCTAAAATTCTAAAGTTTACTTTTACTTGCTAGTGATTGATACACCTACCTTTCCATAAATTCCAGGCAACTAACAATAAAAACATGCAACTAAAATATCTTAACATCAATTAACTTTACAAATTCAGTGCTATAAAAACAGAAATTAATCCAATTAGATTAAGTATTTCGAAACTTCAAAAAAGGTTCGAAGGAATACTTCAACTTTTTTTAAGCCTAAGTATTGAAGTTCAGATAAATCCCTCAAAGAAAAGACTTCAAAAGTTTTATATAGGTGGAATTACACAATGGAAAACAGACCTTGATTTCCAATGTCAAAATCAGTAGCTACTGCAGAAGGCAAGAGAATCTGATTTTTTTTTAATGTAGTAGAATATGCATAGGTCTCATAGATGAAAGGTAAACCTTTTTAACATGACAGTTCTGAAGCTACCAATTTGCTCTGTCACCTGTAATCAGTTTTTGGACCTTCCCGGCCCACCCTTCGTTCTGCATATAATCCACATATCGTGCAAACAAAAATAAGTGATTAAATGGTGTAGATTCACAGACATATGAATAGCTATTTGTACACTATTTTCCAGTCACATAATTTCTGGCCCATCTGTTTGCAACAGTTGGATTTTAAGGAGAGAATTCAAGATTTAATTAAAAGCACAGCTGAGTAATAGCTGAATCTAAAATTCAGTTGCTGTAGCTAATAATATGATAAATAGCTATAAGTGAATGGAAATGAACAAAATCCATGAGATACAGCACCATCTGCTGTTTTGTACAACCATATCCATCCCCTCACGCCCCACAAGTATGATCAAGGATCGCAACTGCCATATGAACATGTATGTTTATATTTTGAATATACAACACCTACTAGTAGATTTGGGCAAGCTTGCAGGGCTTCTAGAACTCCTGGAATGCTGAAAGCTTCATAACCACGAACTCTGCGCCTGTCCAGGTGCCTGGGGTGAAGCCCATATAGCTGCTCAATGTCTGGCATTTTCTTCAGTAATGTAAGGAAGCTGGAATCTGTGAATCCTGAGAAGATGACACATATTTTATCTCTGAGGAAGAAGAGAAGTATAGATATGCAAGGAAGACGGATGGTGCAGTTTACAATCCACACATAATGGAGCAAGGATTTGTGTTGCTTTCTTTGTTTTATTTTACCCCACATGCATCACCACCCATGCTTTGTACAAACGCAAAAAAGAGGAACCATATACTTAATTTTGTTATTCTAGAACTCAAATTCTAGAGCTCAAAGGCAAGGCTAGAGAACTACAAAAGTACTTCACTGCTTAGACAACAACAAAAATTTGAGTACATACAAGAAGAGAGTATGGTTGATTAGTCAAGTTTTGACAGAAATAAGAGTACTCAAAAAGGTGGAATCTAATTTGGACATGATCCAGCTAAAGTTATGCATTTCTCCCACTGTGGATATAAGCTGAAGATGCTTAATTTGCAGAATAAGAGGGGACTAAAATGCTTTGACTAAGTTATGTCAACTTTTTTTTTTTTTACAATCCTTTTGGCACAAATATATGTTGGCTTCCCCACCTCCCCATTTTGTAATTGAGCACATTATGTTACTGCTCATGTACTCATAATACACTGTTTGACTCATTTTTCCTGCTAACAAACCAAGGCCACCTGTCCCTTCATTCTTTCAGCCATTCTCATTTCCCCTTTTAAAGTTGGGTACCATATTTTCTTGCTTTGGACTATTATAACTGTCCCCAGCCTTCCTGGCTCAAGATGATCTTCCTCTTGTTTCTATGTGCATCCAGAAAACAGCAACTAAATTTTTATTAGGCATTTTAAATACTGATTGTACTTTACAATCATTTGGGGTGGAGGGTGTGTAAGCTATTTCACCATCAGCAGGTTTAGAACAGGAAATGAAGGGCCATCTATTAATTATATAAATCATGTAAGGAATGGCTTTTGAGAGATATCATAGCAACTATACAGTATTTTGACAAGCAGAAAACATGTCTTCTTTTGTATTTTCCATTGTCTAAGTCAGTGGTTTCTAATTTTCTGTTTTCAAGAAACTCTTCACTGATTTGTCCAACAGAAAGCACTGTCTTAAAGAGGACTCAGTGCATATTTTAGGCTATACACAAAGTTCACATGGGACATGGCCGAGCCTCCTGTGCCTCACTGTTGCCCTTCTTGAACCAAGTGCTCAACTAAAAACACACCAAAACACACAGGTACATAAGGCAGAAGATTGGTAATAATAGACAAGATATTTAAGAGAAGCTTATCTGCCATTACTGACCTCCTCAGTGGAGAATACAATGTGACATATATTGCTCTAAACCTACCCCTTTCCCCCCCCCCCCCTTGATACTGTGTTTTTATATTTTTGGCATGTTTTATTGGTGGCTCCTTATTTTGTACTGCTATTATGATTTCCTTTAAAATGAAACCTATACAAAGGAAAGAGGAAGGCCTCCATTTTTAATCTCTCAGTTCTAGAAATCTTGGTACACAAACATCTGGGGAAAAAATTGTTCTAGATCAGCCATAGGCAAACTCCAGCCCTCCAGATGTTTGGGATGACAATTCCCATAATCCCTAGCTAACAGGACCAGTGGTCAGGGAAGTTTTTAACGTGTGATATTTTACTGTATTTTTGGTTTCTATGGAAGCCGCCCAGAGTGGCTGGGGAGGCCCATCCAGATGGGCGGGGTATAAATAATAAATTATGATGATGATGATGTGAATTGTAGTCCCAAACATCTGGAGGGCCGGAGTTTGCCTATGCCTGTTCTAGATAGGCACTAAGTAATACCATGGGGTGGGGGAATAAGAACAGCCACAGAGGCAAACTTCGGGTTTTCAGAACTTTTTAATTCCATAACTTTATCTAACAATCTTTGGCAGAGGGATCATTCAGTCCAGCAAATTCAAAGGATAGTCTTGGGCAAGTCACTCACTCTTGGCCCCAGTTCCCCAGCTGCAAAATGGGAGGTATAGCATCATCTTGCATAAGGTTGTAGTGAGAACAAGGAAGGGTCACATCTGATATTGCCATATTGTCCATCAGAGTGCACCTGCAAGTCACAAAAGGGAATGACAAAAAAAGGCATCAGAGGGACTTCTGCCATGTCTCCTTGTGAACTGAAGATGGGTAAAAGTCCTTCTGCTGCTCCAATTCTTATCAAAGGAGTGGCTTGAGGATGCACTCCTATGAATAGAAACAGTTGCTAGCACTGGAAGGGGTCCTGAGAAAATACTCCATAAAGCCATGGTGCATGCAAAAAGTGCTATAGAAATTTAGAATCCATGAAATGCTTTTTAAAAACAATGGCTTGTAAAAGCTATAATTTAAAAGCATAAGATATACTGCAATGCATCACTACCCTGATTAAGAGCAACACTCACCAGTGGGCATATATTCCCACCAGCGGCCTGCGCAGAGATCCACAACCTTCACCACTCTCAAATATAGGGTGACTGCTTCCTTTAACTTCCGAGAGAGGCATTCCATGCACATGATATCCTGCAGGGGAAGATACCTTCAGAAGGAGAGTGGGAGAAGAAAAGATAGGATTAATTCTCAAATGGTTTGTTTCTTTCTTTCCTCTGCTGTTAAAACAAATGACAGTCTGGATGCTGCTATACACATCCACACACACTCATAGCACATAATAAATTCAGCAATGGATGCAAGTACTATTGCATTAAAACAGTATTAAAACTGTATCAAAACTGTACTATTGTATTAAAACAGAAATAATGTATGGCTATCAAACAGGCAAGGCACTCAGTTCAACATAGTTTGAGTGGAAATAATACAACTGCGGCTAATACCATTCACTTCATCAGAAAATTAAATTGGATGATTTATTAGACTAAAATGTCGAAGTTTGTCAAAATAAATCTCATAGAATTACAGAGCTGGAAAGGACATTGAGGATCATCTAGTCCAACCCCCTGCAATGCAGGAATGTGCAGCTGCCCCATACGGAGATCGAACCTCCAAGCTTAGCATTATCAGCACCACGCTCTAACCAGCTGAGCTATAAGCATTTCTGTATGCTTACAGCAAGGCAAATAGCAAGCATCTCTCATTCACAATACTTTCAATCTGCGATTGCTACATCCAACTTTCATGATTTAGGGGGCTAGCTCTTTTGATTCTGAACATTAGGACTTGAAATTCTACCTTGGTCAGTCTAACTGAGACCCACCTGACAAATTAAAAAAGTAGTAGTAGTAATAGTAGCTGGCCCATCTGACTGGGTTGCCCCAGCCACTCTGGACAGTTTCCACCATATATAAAAACAGAATAAAACATTAAACTTTTAAAAAAAACCCTTCCCTATACTGGGCTGCCTTCAGATGTCTTCTAAAGGTTGTATAGTTACTTATCTCCTTGACAACTGTTGGAAGGGTGTTCTACAGGGCAGACGCCACCATCAAGAAAGCCCTCCATGATGGAGGCAGCCTTCATTGTCACTAGGTAGCCTCAGTGATGAGCCCTCACCAGTGTTCAATTGCATTTGACCAGAGTTTTCCTCCACTCGCGTTCAAGCCATCTCCCAGCTTGTTTTCTTGCCCTAAGCTCTGGAGTATATGAGGGAGTCAAAGAGGCTCCACAAAGCAGGAGAGGGCTGACAGGATCAAAAATCACCCACAGCCATCCAGAAACCCATTGGCTCGATCAGTTTCTGAGAGTGGACCATCCTAATAGGTCCTTCGCCACTCAAAATAGCCTCTAGGTGGAGAAAAGCTTCCCTCAATTGTCACGTAGCACCAGCCATTCCACTAGGATGCTCATTAGAATAACTTTAACTTTAACAACTAGAGGCAGAGATTGCTTTTTCCCTTCCCACGTGCATCTGAAAAGGCTCCCAGTCACTTACTGTTCCATTAAAAAATAAGACTGTCCTTGCCCTGAAGTGTAATAATCTAAAAGGCACAACACCAAAGGAAAAAAGGGATGAGGAGGGCAGGGACTGTCATCTTTTTTAACGGATTTGTAACTGACTTTGGAAGCCCTTTCAGCTAAACAGCAGGTACAATATAAAGGCAAAGACCAATTTCATCTGGCAACAAAACACAAAGCAGCTCCTTAATGCTAAATCAATGTAAAAAGATATATGGTCTACATCAACCAATCACAGGTACAACATAACATATCTTGCAAATTATTATTTCTAATTGCTCATGTGCATAAGCATTTCCAAAAAAATATCAGCAATAAGTCTGAAGAAACTGGTCCGCTTTATACAGGGAGAAGGTTAATCTGATAAGGCTAAATTTAAGGCGTATTTCACTTTCAGGATTGAACGGATAATCTGATCTTTGTCCTCAGGTACGACAGTGAATTACATGAAACATCAAAAACAGAACATTATCTTCCAACCCACCTGAAAATATGACAAAGCACTTCATGTGAAAGTTGGTTCATATAGTCCTTCAGATCAGCAGTTTTAACACATATGGGTCCTCCCCTGCTTGTGGAACATACTTTTACATTTTTCCGCCTAGGCCCCATTATGGTGATGTTTGCTGATTAAAGGGATCAGGGCTGGTAGGCAGATACAGTGAAACTGCAGGAGAAAATGGTGACACAGGAGAATGTAAGTATTTAACATACAGAAATTCAAGGCAAGACCTGTCGTAAACATGAAATTTAGTAAAGAACAAATAAAAATAAATAGTAAATATAAATTTATTTCAGGAAAAAACATATATAGATTATCTCTTTCATATATAAAATCTCTCAGTGAGAAATAAGGACTAAAGAAACCCCAGAGTTAGCAGAAGCCAATTAGTAAATTGAGGCTTTCTACAAGCAAGCAGGGTATAACTTCCATAAAATAAATAGACTCCAGCTGGGACTTCTTATATAACCCCTCCCTCCAAAAAATATTTTGCTAATTGCCATTTCTTCAGCAGTCAACTTCTGAAAAACAAGTTTAAAAGAACAATATTCTGTGGTACTATAAAACTAACATATTTATTGTGATGTACATTTCATTAAGCCAGTGTTTTATATGGTTAGCCATTCCCTTTTCAGTCCTGGCCCAATGAATTCACTGACTAGTTTTCACTTCTATTATTCAAAAGGAAACTGTAAATCCAGGCCACCATTCCTATTAATAGCAGAGATTCTGTGTGACAGGGATAATGAATGTGATGACCGCCTGGTGAACAACTCCCATCAGCCTCAGCAAGTCCAGCAACATCAGTCCCCTGCTCCAAGAAACGTTAAAAAGGACTGGAGCTTGGGGAGAGTCAGCGAGAGCAATGCACTAGCTCTCGCCAGGTAAGAAACGAAAGAGATGAAACAGGCTCCCCTAAGAGCAAGACTGTGAAGGTTGGGGAAAGAGAGAGACAAAGCGAATACCTTCTGTTTTTTTTCGGCAAAAGCAGCCGATTTCTTCTCGAGTAAAAGGGCCAGCCTCCCACATAAAAACAATGGCATTTCTTCCCGAGTAAACATGGTGGGAAGGAAGCTAGAGACGGGCCGCAGAGCCGCAGGCCGAGGAGAGGAAGGCCAGCCTTGGCCGCGCATTTAAAGGTGCCCCAAACACGCGCACACTCACGGACACGCGCGCACATCCCTCCTCGGATTCAGTTGCGAAGTGGGGGAGAAGGGGGTCGGGGGAAGGGGGTCGCCGTCAGCTCCAATACAGTCCCCGCGGGACTCGGAGGCGGCTGTGTCAGCGGCGGCCGCTGCCCGCCCGGCTCTCCGCGCTCGGCTCAGCGCAGGGACTTAGGGACCCGCCAGACACAACCCACCACGGCAGCCTCTCACCTGCCCGGCCACCCCCCGTTATTGGGGTTCTGATCCGAGGAGCCGCTCCAGCTGGAGACACTTCCTCCCAGCGCTACGCGGCGCTTCCGCTTCCTGTTCAGCCGCCGGGCATTTCCGGAGGCTCGTGCGCAAAGGGAGGTGAATGAACACAAGAGAGCTCAGCAACCGTCACTCCCGGCTTCGATTAAAACGCTCCATGGGGGCACGCAGGGGAGGAAGGAGATTCCGACTAAACATCGGAAAGAACTTTCTGGCGGTAAGACTGTGGGACCGACTCTCTCGCGAGGTGGTCGACTTTCCTTCCTTGGAGGTTTTTAAGCAGAGGCTAAAGTGTCAAGGATACTTTAGCTGAGATTCCTGTATTGCGAGGGGGGGTGACTAGATGACCCTGGAGGGGATTCTAGGGACGCTTTCAAAGCCGTGCAAGGAAAGGGAGCCTCTGACCCTGCCCTCCCTCTCCCCACCTTTCTTTTTCTCTCTAAACCCTCCTCCTCCTCCGAAATCCATTCACACGCGCGTTTCCACCACCCATTCCACTCCAATGGCGGGTTTCCGCCGCGCGGGGACCGGAAATCCTCCTGAAGGACCACATTGACTGCGGCTCCTCCTGCCCTTACCTTTTGCCCTGCCAGCATGGCCGCCGCCTGCGCCCTCCGCCGCCTCCGCCTGCCTCTCCTGCTGTCGGCAGCTGCCGCGCGGCGGCCTCCCCGTCGCTTCCTGGCGGCGGCGGCGCCTCCGTTCCAGTACATCGTGGTGGAGAAGCGCGGCTCGGCGCAGAACGTGGCGGTGATCCGCCTGAACCGCCCGCAGGCCCTGAACGCGCTGTGCGACGGGCTGATGACCGAGGTGAGCGAGGCGCTGGACGCCCTGGAGCGGGACTCTGGCGTGGGCGCCGTGGTCATCACGGGCAGCGAGAAGGCCTTCGCGGCCGGCGCGGACATCAAGGAGATGCAGGGCCGCACCTTCCAGGAGTGCTACGCGGGGAACTTCCTGGCGCACTGGAACCGGGTCTCCACGGTCAGGAAGCCCGTCATCGCTGCGGTCAACGGCTACGCGCTCGGCGGAGGCTGCGAGCTGGCCATGATGTGCGACATCATCTACGCCGGCGAGAAGGCGCAGTTCGGGCAGCCCGAGATCCTGCTGGGCACCATCCCCGGCGCCGGCGGCACGCAGAGGCTGACCCGGGCCGTGGGCAAGTCCCTGGCCATGGAGATGGTCCTCACTGGCGAGCGCATCTCGGCGCAAGAGGCCAAGGCGGCCGGCCTGGTCAGCAGGGTCTGCCCCGTGGACAAGCTGCTGGACGAAGCCGTCAGCTGCGGCGAGAAGATCGCCAGGAACTCCAAGCTGGTGGCGGCCATGGCCAAGGAGGCGGTGAACGCGGCCTTCGAGATGACTCTGGCTGAGGGCAATAAGGCAGAGAAGAGGCTGTTCCACGCCACCTTCGCCACGGACGACAGGAAAGAAGGGATGAGCGCCTTCGTGGAGAAGAGGCAGGCGAACTTCAAGGACCACTGAGTCGCCCCGCAGAAGCCACTGACGCACAGTGCACTGGGGACTGGCCGGCTGGCTGAAGAGATCGCAGCTGTGTTTATCCAGTCTGCCCAGAGGGCCTCTTCCAAGTGGCACCTCTCTGTGACCTTTAATTGCACCTTTGATTGCAAATTATGTGCCTTTCACTTGCCAGGAAGATGATGTGTCGGGGGGGGGGTAGTTTGGGGATATGCAACTCCCGGTGATCAGTTTCTTTTGTAAGGAAATCGTTATTGTCTACAGGTCTCCTTAAATCAACTGTTGGAGAATACCCCTGTCTGAAGACACCTTGGATCACATAGTTCCCCAATTTGTTTAATTGTAGTACATGGTCCTGAGACAGCAATGCCAGATGTAGGAGATGTTACACATGCACATACATGCATGCACAAAACTTTAAGCTTTGTGATTCTTTCCCAGCTCAGACTGTAGGTTCTACCTCCACATTGGGGTGAGTAGAGGCAGGTGCTTCAATGCTATCTTCATCCTGGACTGCTGACTCCTATGTGTGTTTTGGGAACGGTTTGCCCAGGGTAGTGGTTCTTTTGGTTTGATCTGTTCTGTACTTGTTGCCGCCTTTAGAGTACTGCTCTGGTGGTGAGTCTGAGCTGTAGCTGATGGCCACTGCAACCTGGTGGTGGGTAAAGGCTTAATGGTATGCTGGGGCTGGGCTTTGCAACTCTGCATAAAGCAACAAATGGTAGTCTAGTTTGCATTAACTGAATAATTGTGACAATACATTTCTTTAATAAAATTACATCATTTCAAAAAGACTTTCTTCCTACTCTCCTTGACTGTGCAGTCCTATTCATATCTACTCAGAGGTAAGCCACATTGATTTCAATGGACCATTCTCCCAGGTAAAAATATGCATAGTATTGTAGCTGAAATCACCATTTGGTGTGCAACAGATCTCCAGTATTCATTCCGCTGTCTTTTTCATAGAGTTAGAAGAATGTAGGAATCCTACACCTTTGCAGTCCTTATTAATACTGCTGGTCTAAAAGTGAACTGTTTTTCCGATTTCTTATGCAAAGGCAGTAAGAGGCTCAAGGGGGCAGAGTGACAGCACTCTGTGTCAATAGATTATAGTGGCTAATGGTGAATTTCAGGTTTCTGCACTTATTTTGACTGTGTCCCTTTGCCTTTTCTATATCTCCGATACCTCTGTTATGTTTCGCCTCTGCTGTGTCATGCTTGTTTCTCAAGGAACGGATGGGTCATAGTTCAAACAGGTAGTTCAAAGCAACAGGAAAAGATTAGCATCTCCCCCAACCCCACCGCTTGGGGAAAGATGTACAACTAGGAAGTTTCTGGAACTAGTTTACCTTTTTTTCTATGACCTTGTCTTTATTTATTAATTGGATCCTTCCTTGATAGTATCTCATTGCTTCAGGCAGTTACATTGGACAGTGGGTAAAAATTGTCCTCTCTTCCTTGTACTGAAAGGCTGACCCTTGCTTTGGGCCTCTGCAAACTGACAAATGATAGATAACAATCCAACTATAGCTCATTTTTGCATGGTGGGGGGAGGGGATTGTGTGTGCATAAGTTGATGTGTAAAAGCAATTCACTTAAGAGTAGAACATTGAAATTAAAGAGTCTCTATTACTTTCTCTGGGTCTACTCTCAGTATGGCTAGCATTGGATACAACCCATGGAATGTATTGTCCGGAAACATTAGAGACAGCAAAGAGGGGTGTCAATCAAGCTTACATGTGTTTGGACCTATTGTGGAGCACACACATCTATACATGCTTGGTGAAGGGTGATGCATTCATTGCATTGGCCCATTGCACCACTGGCTACAGAAGGTATTTGGCCTGCTGAGAGTTTGAACTGGCACAGAGGTGTGAAAGGCAGAGACACTCTGGGTTTGATTTGCATGGTGTGTGTGTGTAAGTATGGGTGTGCTGGTAAAAGAGGAAAGGCTTCTGCTTTTATTTTTTTGTGTTTAATAAAGGCCTTTGGACAAGCGGAATTGAGCCAAGTGGTATTGTAATAACGAACTCCTTGTTTTTTTTAATACTGTCCATTCTTATTAACACCTGCTCTTCTGCAGCTTAACCTAGAAGAAAAGAAAATAGGCTAGCTTTTAATTTGGATTATGGGACAGCAGAAAATGTCAAGAGGCCAAACAACTTTGCATGTTTACACTTTCAGCCACTTTTCTAACTGTATGCAAATAACGATAGACTTAGCTGCAAAAGTCTCATTGGACTAATTGGGACTTATTTCTCCATAAGCATACCTAGGATTGTATTGTTTGTTATAATATAGCAAATTTTCTGACTTCTACAAATATGACTTCCCAAATCAATAATATTAACACCTTAGAAGCTCATTATATACTAGGCAAATAGATATGGTGCCAATGCAGGAGCTGTTGTTTTGCAGTCATAATCTTTCAGTGAGAATTTCTGCTATACTGAGTTAACTTCAGCTTAAAAATATCTGTTAGGATATTTCCATTCCACCTTAAAAGGGAGCAGGATGTTTGTGTCACAGCCTGCGTATTTTCTGTTCACAGGATGTTTCTGGTGTGTCTATGCTTTCGTTTTTTCTCTTTGTGTCTGAGACACTGAAGCAGGCAGTCATGTTTTCTTTGTTCTGATCAACGCTGAATAAACTTGTAAATAATGCTCTCCTGAGTGCATCTTTCGCTGTGCATTATCTGCTGATAGAGCGTGCATCAGCTCTGGAATGTGGCAAGCTATTTCTGGAGCTCGTGTCGCTAATTGCTGATACTACGTCTCTACGTGAGATCGATGGACGTCCGGAGACGACGTGGAGTCATGATGGACTTTGTCTCCCTGGCAGTATCCCAACAATATCAACATTAAGAATTGGACATAAAGTACCTTGTGAGCTGCATGCTCCTCTGTGTCGTATGCCAATTTGAACTCCAGTTGCCCTGTAATAGCAGAGGAATGATTTATATAAATGACTACCAAAAGTCTGGGGCTCTAATATCCTGATGGGGATAACGTACTTAGAGTTGCTGTGTATCACTAAAGTATCATAAAGAAAGTAGTTCTTGAAAAAACAAAAACACACACATATATATTTCTCCCCCAGCTTTCGATCCTATTATTTCCAAGGCATTTTACCATTTAAAACTACCGGTATATTGGCAAGACCATCATCAACATAAGCAATAACCCAAGGTTGAAAAAGTCTGCTGTAGAGTGTGTGCATGGTATTTCATCGTTGTCTTAAAAGTAGTTTCTTACCATGTTGGACTTACCAGATTCATAAATATACAAAAACGAACAGAGGGAGTGTTAGAGGTGTAAAGAAGTTGAAGGAACTTTTTACCATATGTGGTGGGATTGTAAAAGCATTAAAATATATTGGGAAATGATATATAATGAATTGAAAAAAATGTTCAGAATAACATTTGTTAAGCAGCCAGAAGCCTTCCTGTTGGGTATCTTAGGGCAAGATCTGCTGAAAGAGAAAATGACATTATTCATGTATGCTACGACGGCGGCGAGAATACTGATAGCACAGAATTGGAAGACGAGAAATTCCAACAAAAGAGCAATGGCAAGAAAAACTGATGAACTATGCGGAGTTGGCAAAGCCGACAGACAGACTTCAGGAAAAGGACAATAGTGATTTTGAAAAAGTGTGGAAACCTTTTATATTATATTTGCAGACACAAAGAAAATATTGACTTGATGGCAGGATTTAAATAAACATTCACAATTTTATGCACAGGGAACAAGTATTGTAACGAAGGGAAAATATAATATCTTGTAAAAAACAGCAGAGTACCGTGGGGAGGATAATAAATCAGAAATGGAAGTTGAGGGAAGTCCAAAGGGAGGGAGGGGATATTATGCAAATTGTATGTTATGGATATAAGTATATTTGTGATGGGGGGGAGGACTTACCAGATTCGTGCACACAAGATGCATACATGGGCATAGGTCACACCATCAGTGCCACACACAGGCCTGTATTCTTGTGGGCAATCACCAAGTGGTGGCTGCGGATACCTGCTGCAGTCAACCTATAAATAAACATATAATCCAGAGAGTGGAAACAAATGCAGCTTGACAATACTAACTTTCAGCAAGTTCAGCCTTTGTTGGCCAGGTAAAACGAGGCGGGAGGGACAAATAAGGTGTCCTTGTAGAAGGAGAGAAATCATAAGCCACCTACTCCCAGCAGCCAGGAACATCATTACTAGACACTGGAGGGACTTGTCAGGAGTGAACACGGACCACTGGTATCAAGCCATATGGGAAACAGCCCTTCTAGAGAAGCTAACCAGATAATAAGAATCTCTACCCTCATTAGAAAACCCTTGGCATTTTTGGACAAATCAACCACAACAGCATGCATGGTTATCTGCACTCTGGGTGGCCAGATGACAATATAGGGTGCATAATGGGAAGTCCAAAATGCTGTTTCCTTTAGAAATGTAAAAAGAATGCTGTTGTACAGCTCTTTAGCAGTATTCTGTACACAGTAAGCAGAGACCTATGTGGGCAGGACCAGAGCCTATTGTGGGGGTAGTGTGCAGCATTGCAGTGTTCTGCCGCCTCCTGTCACCCAATCTTTGTGGGTTTGCATGAAATTAAGCCGAGGACCAGAGGTTTCCCCACCCAAAGCTGCAGTCACACAAGTATAGAAACTCCTTTCTCTTTCTATAACTTGTGCCCCAGCTGTCTATATCAAAAAATAGTCTGGGTTCAATACACAGCGGGAAAGCATAAGGAATCATTTGAAGATGGCAGTCAATTTAAAAATCCACTAAGAGTCAGAACTAAAAACATGCCCCTAAAATTAAAAAGGCCTTGTCCCCCATACTAATACCATTTTACATCTGCTAAGGGGGGCATTTATTACAGCTTTTATAAATAAGGAAATATAAAAATGCATTCCTGGACAGTTTATTTCTAATGTGCAGAATGTGAACACAATTTGGTTGCTAAACAAAGACACTAAAGGCTTTTTTGAAACAAAATATGCACTGACCTTCCTTCCTGAAGCTTCAATACCTGAAAAACAAGTCAAAAAAGCATTTCAAAACACTACCAATGAGAGATCTTGGGGAGATCTTGGGTTGGATCCAGACTTAGCTATGCTTAGAGTAGACCCACTGAAATCTCTGGGACAAACATTACGGATGACTAACTTACCGTAAGTGAGTTCAAACCCATGCAAGCTGGTGGTTACTAGACCATAGGCTCCTCCCAACCTCCTCCCCCTTTTGACATTTATTTTCCTATGCTTAAATCAAGATCAAGGTAGCTTACAAATGGAAATGTCAATCACAACAGGATGGAAACGAAACCTAAAAATGAAACAGCAGTAAAATGTCATTTCTCCCACTACCCCTTATAAAGTGGTCATTGGTTATGGAGACTTTAACATAGTGCTACAATGTGAAGGTGTCTTACCAAAAAAGAAGCAGCAGTTTGCTAGAGAAAGTATCAGAAGAAAGGTGGTAATCTTCATGGTTAATGAAGTCTGTATTATCTTCCCTCAAGATTCAGCCACTGCTCTCTGCTTTACCTAAGAACATACGCAATCATAGACATATATACATATGCACCATATCTATAGAAGCAATCACATTCTTTATCTGGACCAGGTCATTAATTATCACAAGGCTCCATCATCTTGTTATTTTACCTGCGGGAAGCGAAAGACGAATGGTAATGAGATATGGAGGGAAAGTTGACAAGTACATTCTTGTATGTGTATAGGAGAACAGTAGCAGAGCTTGATAGTACATGGGATGATCTCACTCTTCGGCATCCCAAACGACCTCCAAATAACTCTTAACTTGTTGTCTAATTAATACATTCTGTTCATTCTCCCAACCATTCACGAAAGTTAATGTTCCACTCTTCAGGTAACAAGGGTCCCAGAGAATTAAATGGGAGCGGCATATCCAGAGTCCTGTTTGGTTGTAGTAAATGGCCCTGAGACAGCAATGCCAGACATACTGTAGCTCAAATTGCACGTTTTGCCTCCTCATTGGAGTGAGTAGAGAAATGTGTGTTAATCCTAGGCTGCTGGCCCTTGTATTCTTTGGCATAGATCTGTTGAGGCTGGAAGTTCTTTTGATTTGATCTGTTCTGGAGTCATGTGTCTGTTGCTGCTTTGGTAGTGAGTCCGAACTGTAGCTGTTGTGCACTGCACACAAGCAAGAGAGGCACATTTTTTTAAAAAAAGTTCTACATCTGGTGCTGGAAAAAGAACAAGCACTGAGTGAAGTAAACTTGAGGGTGCAGTGGGGAGACCTCCAGTCATCATCCACTTTCTGTTTGATGGCTGGACTCATAAAAGGACTTAGAGGAAGATGTTAACACCTGTTAAAGTTCATGCAGAAGGGGGTGGCCCATTCTATACCCAGGGTTTTTGTTTCCTTAAATTCATATCCTACTTTTCTTCCTTCACAAAACCCAGGGTGGCATGCATGTGGTTTCTATGTGTTAACTCATCACGTCCAAGCATTGAGCAGACCCAGATCTATTTAACTTCAGCAACTTGGGAGCTTCCTGTGTGCCTTCAGGTTGGTTGCTGTGTGTTTATCACCCTGAATTTGAAGGATACACACAGTCTGACTCCAGAGGCATGGTCCAAAATGCTTTTATTTATAGCTGTATCAGGAAGAAAATAACACATCACTTAAAGGTACAAGGAAGGAACTGAATTGCTTTTGAGGACTTATGCATAGCTAATGGACAAGGTTGAGAGGCGCTGCCATCCAACAACATCTGGAGCAAACCAGGTTGAGGACAACTTCCCTTCTTATCTCTCTGGGCAGATTTCACTTGCTCTCATTGCTGCATTTTGACCCTATGGGACTTTCCTTTTGCAATGCCGGGAATTGCAACATTAAATGTTGCTACAAGGAAGGGTTTCTCCCCTTATTTCATTTAAATAGCCACACAAGGAAGCTTGCAACAGGTGGGGTCAGAATAGGTGAAATAAATGGGTAATAACTATTGGCAAGGATTGTGCAATAATAGGAGAAAGACGTGTGTGCACTGAGAGCCCTCAGCTATGTGTAGGAAACCCAAGGGTTTTTATTTGTTTTGCTTGTTGACAGATGGTCATAAGAAATTGCTACACTCAGCAGAGGAAGGTTTGGGAAGGATCCTGACTAAGCCTTTGTCTTCCACCATTTATCCACTCAAACCTGCTATTCACCAGCTATTTTCCTTTCCAGAGGATAGAAGAGATGAGGACTCAGAAGACCAAGTCTGAGTGGGAAAATAGCAGGAAGGGAAAGGGGTAAACAGCTTCTCCACCTGCCATTCTTCTGTCCCTGATCATAGGTTCCGTTTTCTTTACAACAAACAAAATAAATAAATGGCAAGTGCACACACACCCCCGCCATGTGTTTCATGTGTCATCCGATTTGGTTGTGGGCAGGTTGCTCAGCTTGGAAGATGCTTATGACTTGTACTGTGAGCAGGGCCAGAACAACATATTGCACAACCCGGGGGTCTCTGGATGTCACTTCCCCCTCTTGAAGTTTAGCTTTAAAAATTGTTTTGATGCCATGTCAGCGGTAGCAGTGCAGCTGATGGTCTCATGGAGCACCTTTGCCATGTCTGCTTTTTGCCAGTGAACTGGGAAGATGTGGAAATAGGCAGCCATGTTGCCAGTAGACAAGGGAACGCATGTTTTGCTACCACCCAAATCTGTCACCTGAGCCACACTGCTCAGCAGAGCTCATGATAGGCCAGCCCCACTAAGGGTGAGGTCAGAGACCTTTGAAAGGAGCAGCTCTACAGTCTGGACTACGACCCGCTCCACAGTGTACATTGACAAACAGCATTATATTGATCAGATTGAGCCGGTCCACCCCACAGGTGGCACTAAGTATTTTTTTTTCTGAAAAGGGGGGTTTTAGTTTGAGAATCTCTAGCTTAGAGTCTAAGCCTTGAGCCAATCTCATGAAGACAGAACTATCGGAGCCAAAGAGCAGGACTTCCACAGGCAAAATAAATTTGGCGCCAACTGATGGCAGTTTCCAAACCTAGTTGCATTCAGTGTCAGCAATTTTGA